AAAAGTAGCACTTAGGTTTACACAAACGTCAGTTTCACATTAAAATGCACACAATTACTCTTTTTTTCATCAGCTAGTCCTTGCTTTATCGGGTCACTCAAACAAAAGTATTAATAATCATTTAAATAAAGTCACAATGATCACAAAAAATAAATAGGTTTTACAATAAGGTTCATTAGTTAATGCATTTACTACATTTACATTTACATTTAGCAGACGCTTTTATCCAAAGCGACTTACAAATGAGGACAAGGAAGCAATTTACACAACTAAGAGCAACAATGAATAAGTGCTATAGGCAAGTTTCAGGTCTGTAAAGTCTAAGAAGGGAAGTATTAGTATTTTTTTTTTTTTTTGTACAGTTAGTGTGATATTCAAAGAGGCAATTGCAGATTAGGAAGTGAAGTGGAGACTAAATAGTTGAGTTTTTAGTCGTTTCTTGAAAGTAGCGAGTGACTCTGCTGTTCTGATGCAGTTAGGGAGTTCATTCCACCAACTGGGCAGATTGAGCGTGAGCGTTCGCGAAAGTGATTTCTTCCCTCTTTGGGATGGAACCACGAGGCGACGTTCATTCACAGAACGCAAGTTTCTGGAGGGCACATAGATCTGCAGAAGCGAGAGCAGATAAGAAGGAGCAAGGCCAGAAGTCACTTTGTAGGCAAACATCAGAGCTTTGAATTTGATGCGAGCAGCAACTGGCAGCCAGTGCAAACGGACTAGCAGCGGAGTGACATGTGCTCGTTTAGGTTCATTGAAGACAACTCGTGCTGCTGCATTCTGGAGCAGTTGAAGAGGCTTGATAGAGTTAGCTGGAAGCCCAGCTAGTAGAGAGTTGCAGTAATCCAGTTTGAACAAGAGCTTGAACAAGGAGTTGAGCTGCATGTTCAGATAAGAAGGGTCGGATCATTCTGATGTTATAGAGTGCGAATCTGCACGATCGAGCAGTTCTAGAAATGTGGTCAGAGAAGTTTAGTTGGTCATCAATCGTTACTCCAAGGCTTTTCACCATTTTGGATGCAGTAATTTACTAGCTAGTAGTAAGTAAGTTAGTAATTTACTAAGTAAATTAGTAATTTACTAACATGAACTAATCATAAACAACACGTTCAGCATTTATTAATCATAATTGAACATTTATTAATGCATTACTAACGTTCAAGTCCATGCTTGTTAACATTAGTTAATGCACCATGAGTTAACATGAACTAACAATGAACTACTGTATTTTCATTAACTTACATTAACATGAACAAATACAAAAGTAAATGTATTGTCCATTGTTTGTTCATGTCAGTAAATGCAATAACATTTATTAATGAACCTTATTGTGAAGTGTGACCAATAAAGAAAACGTCTACATTGCACAAGTGTTGAAATTCACCCAGTTAAAAGAACTGTTACTTTCCTTTAGACTATGACCAAACTCCCAACACATCTGTAAACTACTGTGATTTCATGCCAATTTTTAAATAAAAATAATTTATTTATCACTTAATATTATTTTTTAGACAACACAGTATAATGAAAATATATAAAAAAAGTTAATAAATCATTATTTGGCGAAATAACTGTAGTTTTCAATCCCAACAAATGAAAACGACAATATCTTTATTTGAAATTTTATCAGACCCTAAAGAGAGAAAAACAATAAACACTTCACTGAAACCTAAAACCAGAGAAACTTCAAGAGGACTCCTAAAGTTCCTAACTCGTGTACCATCACTGAAAATGACAACATATTTGTCCACACATTTCATTTTATTAATGTTAGTGACTAAACAAGTGATTAAGTCATAAATAGCTGAATAAATACATCTTTTACTAAGCAGCATTATAAAGCAATTAAACAGGCATTCTTTAATTACTGCTTCTGGCCAGAGACGACATATGAATCTTACAACACTTGTGCTTTGTTGTAGACCATGTGATAGTCCACTGGTTAGGCCAGCAGAAAGACTTGAGCAGGGAAAATGAGAAATGTTTGATATACTGGACAGTCTGTTGATTGTGCTTAGGATGAGGATATCAGTGGAATGCTGGAATTGATTTAGACAGCCAGATTGGTGATGACAGCCCTGGTGAACTCGTCGTTTGATGCATATCCTCCCAGATCTGAGGTGCGAACCTATACCAAAGAGAGCAATAACATTTTTTATGCCTTCATGTTCACACGGGATGCATTCATACTAAAGAGTTTCTCTCACAAACATGCACTTCTCAATGATATCCAGTATATAATTTTAGAATTTTCATTTAGTCATGTTACGTCTTCAAACAGAGCACGCATTAGCAGTGATTATAAAGTGATGTTTTTATTTCTCAATCCTTTTATTTATTGGCACAGAAAAAATAAAAAAATTCTCAGTTGAGAAAAAAACTTAAATAAAAAAAAATACATAAAATCGATCTGTTCATTTAGGAAATAAATACACTTTGTGAAATTGAAATGCTTGGTTTCCACCTTCCCAAACACACTGCACTGTAAAAAATACCCATAAATTAACTGTTTTCCATATATTGTGATTCATGTTTTACTTTCTTAATTTATGCTTTTGAATTCCATTTTGCAACCTTGATCTTACCTCCAACAACTATCGATGTTGAAAAGTTTGGAAAAAGTGATGCTTCTTGACATTTTGAAGTATGCAGGTTTCACCAAGTTAAATTTAAGACTTTAAGACATTAAAACCATTATGAACGGAATTTTAGACCTATACGAGGATAAATGCTAAGAACTTTCCAAAATCATAGTTAGAAAAAATGTTCACTTGCTCAATCAAAAAACAATTAATTTTATACAAATTTAATTTAATACAAAAATAATCATTTTGTTTGAATATTTTTTCATTAATTTTTTAAATACATGCATTCACAAACCCTATCACCCTAACCAAGAATAAAACAAAACATAGCCGTCAACTGCTAATAATAACAATTTATAATTAAAATATTTAGGTCAGGTCAGTATCCTCATCCGTAAATAAAAGGAGAAACATGTTTTAAACATTTTAGACATGTTACTGTAAAAATTGAGACCTACAACACAATATCTCAGTAGATTTAAGACTTTTTAAGGCCTAAAATGTAGATTCTGCGATTTAAGACATTTTAAGACTTTTAAGACCCCGCAGATACCCTTCTGGGTTGGTGTTGTAAATTATGGTACAGAAAGTACCTTTTGTTATTTTACAGATTTAATTGTCATTATATTATGTATTACACAATAATTATGTTTCACTTACACAATTATATTGCTTCAAAACTACTAAAAGATCAACAAAAGTCACTTTGTTAAACTGCAGTTGAATTTTCAACATCAATGACAATTTGCCGGCGCAATAGCCTAGTGGTTAGCAAACTGACACATGGTGCAGTAGAACTTCAGGGCATCCAGAGTTTGAATCCCGGCTCAAGGACATTTCCCATCCCTACCCCCCTCCCTCTCCCACTTCGCTTAGTCCTATAGACTTAATAAAGGCAAAAAGGCCAAAAATATATCTTAAAAATAATGCAATTCATATAAATAAATAAACAGAAAAACTGTGAATCACGAAATATGGAACCTGTTAATGGATGGATATTTTTTACAATGCAAGATTACAAACGTTAGTAATGCAAGTGCTGAGTTAGAAAAATATGAAGACAACATGTTACATCAGTACAACAGTGACTTGAGGTAAGTTTTAAATGCCTGAGAGACCAGTCAGTCATCGTGTCCACAGTTAATTGAGGTAAAGTTGATTTTATATTAACACATTTGAATTCCCTCCTTAATAATATACTAAACAGTGAAATCATATTAGCAGCCAATGACTATCAAAGTAACAAAGTCAATTAAATATTGCTAATATTGTTTTGAAGTCGTACTTTCATGTGATCTTAAGCCGAATATTCAAAGTACCGCGGTAAACAATATAGGAAGCCTGTCACAATGTCACTGAACGGATATGCGAATATAAAACCATCCTTACCTCAATCCACAGTTAAGTCAGTAATGGCACAGAACATCAGCATCATAATATAGAAACAACAACTGCTCATCTGACTTATGACAGCAGATTTCCTTAGTGAGGTTTGCTAAGGTACCATTGAAAGTGAAAAAAATCATCAAGTATCACACCTCTTCACTTGTTACAATGTTAAATCACTTTTGAAAACTTAAAAAAATAAGGTCCAGCTCCAAAGCACAGATGACGACAATAAGACATTGGCGTGCAGAAACTAAATCAAATGTATAACAGGGACAGGCAAAGTAGTGGAGTAAAACAATGCCAGACATGCATTATTGCTGTTCTAACAAAAACATGTTTCAATATTGATCGTTAGAAAGGTTTCTGATGAACAAATCAGCATATTAAAATGATTTATAAAAGATTCGGTGACACTGAAAACTAGAGTAACGATGCTGGAAAATTCAGCTTTGGCCTTTAAGGCATAAATTACTTATCAAAATGTACTAAAGTCACCTCTTATGCAAGAACTATCTTGAATCACTATAGATATTTTTTATTATCAAGTGTGAACAGATTGTAGACCATCTATGACAGCCTGTAGACTAATCTTTACACGAAGAACTACGTATATCAAAAGGATGTGACGTTTACATGCACATCCAAGAGCCTCTTTTTTTAAAAGAATTCTTTTCATGTACGATATAAACTTTTCTGTACTGTAATGTCAATGTATCATGCAATGAAAATGGCCAGATCTACTGTATATAGTGTATGATCTCAAATATACTTTAAGCAGACCACCATAACATTTTAAATGACCTTATCTGTTGACATGATGCAAGTGAAATGCAGAGCTTATGCAAAAAAACAAGCATTTCTGATTTTTTATATTTGGCCCCTTTAAGCCTTTACCAAATACGTGAATTTTATAGACATTGATAACAATATATTTTTGTATATATATTGTGTACAACCCCACTAAAACTTTTTTTTCCAAATGAGCACCCTAAAAAGGGTTCAAATGGAAATGAAGTAGTCAACTGTACTTTTTTTAAGTGCATTTCTTTATATTTACTGTTTTATTAATTTTATTGAATGCAGCCCTGGTTAATGCAAGAAACGTTACCAACTCTTAACTTTTAAACAGAAGTGCAATTCTTATACACATATTGACTACAAGACTATAACAAATACTGTAAAAAAAGAACGTACATTGATGCAGTGAAAAAAAAATAAAATCAGCCAGAGAAGATGAGAAAGAGAGAGACAGAAAAAGCAGAAGAGAAATGCAGGATGTGGCAGGACAGCTTTAAACTCCTCTTTGAACATATTGCGATCAGAAGCGGCATGTACAGTACGATCTTCAATCAGTTCGTTGGCGTAGACTGGCCACAATAGCACGGATAAAGTCACCAGTGGTGCTGTAACCCCCTAGATCTCGCGTTCTCACCTGGGACACAGACAAACACACACACACACGGTCACATACACCCAGATTGGGCCGTGACGGCAGAGGGAAGGGAAGGTGAAGACCACGTCAGCAACTTATAGACAAGGAGCAAAACTTGAAGACAAGAGACTGAATGAAGAGTGGAAAAAATGAAAAAAGGAAGAAATTAAAAGCTAAAGTTAAATGTATGCATTAAAGGGAAAGAAACTAAATTGAATAAATCATGATAATAGATAAAAGACCCCCTAAACGGGTATTTGGAACTTTTACACCCCCTTCACACAGTTTATTTGTATGGTACGAAATATGTTTTGCTTGCAGTTTTGCATTTGCTTGCAGATCCATCAAAACAAAACACTTTTTATGCATGCCAGGCCAGTAATAAAGACAAACAAAATCATTTTTTAATAGTTTACACAGATAATTAATTATGGTTTTAAAAACTTGCACATTAAAGTCGGTTTGCAAAAGTTTGAATGTTTCAGGCTAACAAAAATCATAAAAAGAAGTCAAGTTATTGTTGAAAATGCTAAGATGTAAATGTCCTCTTAGTCCTAACAGCAATTAAATTACAGTAGGCTACTACAGGGTATCTGCACATTTTTTAACAGGAAATTTAAGACATTTTAAGACCTTTTTAAGTCCTCTAAAATGAAAATTTAAGACTTTACCTAATCAAAAAAAAAAAAAAAACAGGAAAATGTTCAGTGTGTCAACACAGAATGATGTGGTGAAGTATGGCGGCAAATCTATGGCGGCAAATCAATGCCAATATAAATCGAGCGCAGCGGTGATGTTTGCGCGCGAGGAGAAGTGAACCGTGAACAGATTACTTGATTGACTTGGTTTACTTGTTATCTCTAACACTATTGGCTACTCTGCCTTTCCGGAAGTTAGCCGGGATTGGACGCAGGTTAAAAGATCACGCCGTTAAATATATATATACAATTTGCAAGTCATAATCATAAGAAACTTTCTGAGAACTTTATGAGGATTCAATCTCGAGAAACAGTCAAATAATAAAAATTAATCTTCAAAAATAATGACTTGCATTCTTGTAACATGACTTTCTGAACCCATTTGATTTGTCCGTGCAGCACTTGTCTGGTTTGTTGTATTTTACTTCATTATTAACCACAACAGCAGTGCTCATTATTACACTTGGGCATGATCTTTCTAGGAAATATTGTCTTCAGAAGAGTTTATTTGCGTTTTAGATCTTTCCATACAATGCATAGTATATGTGCAGTGCAGCTTTGTATATTATTATAATTGTTAACATTGTTTGTAATATAGGTCAGTGTAAAATATATATATCTATATATTATATATATATATATATATTTCTATCTTATTTTTAGTTAATGATTGAATAACCTGCATATAAAGACTTCAATCAAAAATGATTAGCCCAATTAAACATAAAAAATACAGTGACAGACATTCAGATGGGTGTTTATCGCCACCTATTGAGCAACAATTTAATTTCTACAATATTAGTTTGGCTTTACTCACTATCCATTACATCATTCCACTTCAGAGGCATACAAATACCACTTTCTATACGACAGGCCCACATCTTAAAGGTCACATATGCAGTTGAAGTCAAAATTAGTAGCCCACTTTTTTCTTGTTTTATTTCGGCAAGAATAAAAGCTGTTTTAATTTTTTAAAACCCATTTTAAGGTCCATATTATTACTCTCTTTAAGCTATTTATTTTTAATTATTTATTTACTATATATTTACTATAAACCTTTGTACTTTATGCACTGCATGCATGTATAGCCTATTTTGTATACTATTGTCCATCCAATTTATTCTGACTTGTTCTTCATAGAAAATGAGTCAAGGACAATGAGTCTTAGAAAAAAAAAAGAAAAAAAACACGTTTGGTTTGAGTTCAGTTTAAATGTAGGTGCTAAACTTCATCAAATGGTTCAAAACACACATTTAAAGTCTGAATTATTCGTCCTGAATTATTAGCCCATGTATATTTTCCCCAATTTCCGTTTAATGGAGAGATCTTTTGACACATGGTATAACTCTCTCTTTCTCTCCCAAGTAATAAAGTTTGTTACAAGAATATATCTCATTATTTTGATATGTTATTATATGACTTGGTCATGATGGTAAGAATAGGCATTATTATGAGATTAATTATTACAAAAAATATCTCATTATTGAAAGTAAGTCGTCACCTATTATTACTAAGAAAGTAAGTCTATTAGTTTCACACTGTGACATTATGATAAGATATCCTGTATATTTTTATTTAAAGGGGAAACTAGCTTACCTGCGTCCAATCCCGGCTAACTTCTGGAAAGGTAGAGTAGCCAATAGCGTTAGAGATAACAAGTAAACCAAGTCCCGCCCTAGGACTCACAAAAATCCAAAATGTTTCGCGCGAGCAGAGAGAAGAACCAGCGAGCGAGCGGAGAGAACTGGTCGCGCGCGCGCTGTAGGCATGACCACATCGTGCGCACAGATGATGATGTGCACGCGCGGGACTTGTTTTCTCGCGCTAAATCAGTTGAGCGCGCTCGAAGATCCCCTGTGCGCTCACGAGCTGTAGTTTTCTCGCTTGTAGACCTGTAATCTGCTCACGGTTCACTTCTCCTCGCGCGCAAACATCACAGCTGCGCTCGATTTATATTGCCATTGATTTGCCGCCATAAGACGAGTCGGACATGATATTTAAGATCCCACATGAAATTTAAGACCTCCTTATGGAAAATTACAGAATTTAAGACATTTTCAGACCTTAAAAATCGAAAATTTTATTTAAGACATTTTAAGACTTTTTAAGGACCCGCGGAGACCCTGTACTACTTATTAAACAAACTGTCAATAGAGCTACAATGAATTTCATTTTCAATTCAATTGTTCACTAATTCATAATTATCTCAACAAGAAATCAAAACAGTTCATTTGTGCTAATAGTTGAACATTATATTTAACATTAGCTAATGCATTTTCCAGCGTGAACGGACCCTTTTCACTTGCCTGTCATGACACGTTAAAGGTCATCATAATATTAAATGCTTGCAAGTGTTTAATATTTTGATTAAAAAAAACATTTATATGCATTTATGAATGTATTAAATTATATATACTAATCTTCTGCTACTAAGAAACTCGGACATGTGATAAGTGTCTACTAAATATATTTCTTTTCTTGCTTTCATAGTTTTCTAATATCTGACTGCACAACAAGTGACAGACTGACAGGTATAACAAAACAAGAGCTCTTTTATACGTTCTATCCGATTCTCCTCTTTTATAAGGAAATGTCAGTTTTAAAAAGCAATTGTGAGACCATTTCATGAGGTCTTTAAGATGACAACTAAAATAAGAAAAGAACCCAGCAATTAATTTATTTATCCATTTTTAACCAATTTTAAAACAGTATTTTATTTATTTATGCATCAATCCCTTACTAAGGGAAACCCACCATTTAGGATGAAAACCTGTGATGGCTTGTATAATAGATATAATTCTGTAACAAACACATCTCTCTCTCTCATTCACACATAAAACCAAACAAATACAATTAACTCTTACCTTGCCCTGTTTGATGACTTTCTTGACTGCCTCAGACACCATGTTTGAATGATACTCGAGGCTGAAAAAAATAAATAATAAAAGAACCCACTCACATCAATACAATTAAGACCACATACAAAATTGAGACAGATTTGAGAAAGCCTGGCCAATAAATCCTAAATAGTTTTAAAGAAATTTAAATGTTTTTAAATTCACAGTCCAGATAAAGCCCAGTTACCAGAAATGCTGAAATGTTTACAGATAGATAATGAGAATTAGTTAGAAGTTGCTAATATGCTTAAAACAGGTTTTCCATAAGTTTAAAACATATTTCAGTACTGTGAATACTGTATATTTTAAAACATTGTTTATATATTTGTAAAGATTGTGTTTTGGTATTTTTTGCTTTTAATGTGATAAGACCGTTGAGCGTAAGGAAAAGATGAAGGGAAAGAGGGCTAGGACCAGAAAAGTTCCACGAGTTGGGACTGAAGCTCGAGATTCAAAACACAATGGCACCACAGGTCACCAGACCCACAAGGCTAATAAAAAGCTACAAATATGCTGCTAGATTTAACAATATTGTATGCTATAATATTTTTGTTAAGAAGTATACAGTGTGCATTAGCATGTTGCTAACATTTTTATAACGTTTGCTAATCTTTGATATGTTTGATAGTATTTTGCTCATGTTGTAGCTTGCTGACAGTGTTTATAACACAGATATTTTTAGCATGGCTACCATATTAATTGCATGATTCAGCACAATGATCATCATTCGGCTAGCTAGAATAGATAAATACATCTGATTACCAAATGCAACATTGATTGAAGGAAATCTGGACTGGATCGAGGTCCCTGAAAATTTAAATAAATCCCTTTTGTGGAAGACTAAAGGAATTTATAAAATATAACAATAGGGAACTCACTTGAGGTGTTTCAGCATGTTTGATGCACTGAGGAGCATAGCGGTGGGGTTTGCGATGTTCCTGCCGACAGCCTGAGCAAAAGGATGTCTGGCACCCTAATATTAAATGCAAGAAACAGAAACCACAGTAAAGTCTATAGAAGCATACATTTGAAGTTTTATTTAGCAACTTTTAAGCATTAAATGTAGCATGTAATGTCCTTTTGAAAACTTTGGTTGGAAATGGCAAATGTAAATGATGCAATTACATTTTTGTTTTCATTTCACACCCAACTTTGGACGTGTGTCTTGGAAAATACTAATTCAAATAAAGAAATACATTGACTATTTCAAAATGGATTTTGCTATTCATATGATTCAATAAGTCATCATAAACATGTAGCAATAATTAGAGTCTCTATTCACTTATTACCAATGAAAGAACGAAAAACAAGATTTAGTCTCGAACCGTTTCAAACACTGCATATTCCGCGCTGTAACTCTCGCCTGGAACTACACCTGCTCCGCCAACCAGCCCCGCTGCCAGGTTATCAATGATGTTGCCGTAAAGATTGGGCATCACCAGCACATCGAACTGATATGGATTCTGCACCAGCTGTGGGCCACAGAAAAATATCCCAATTGTATCTACAGGTCACTCTTATAACAGGCTATTAACTATGAAAGCCAGAAAACATTACCTGCATGCAGCAGTTATCAATGATGACATTCTCGTATTTAATTTTGGGGTAGAGTTCAGCCACCTCCGCACAGCTCTGCAGGAAGAGACCATCCCCGAGTTTCCTGTGAGAAATAAATCCTAGAGAGTGAGTCTGCGCGTGGAGCGTCTAAAACAGTACGGGTGCAATAATCCCACTAGGCTTACATAATGTTTGCTTTGTGGACGGCGGTCACTTTACTGCGGCCTTTCTTGGTGGCGTAGTCGAATGCAAATTTAGCAATGCGGCGGGATTTCTCCCTAGTGATGATCTTCAGGCACTCCACCACTCCTGCAACGCTCTGAGGGAGAAAGTAAAACATTTATTTAACATTCAGTCCATTAACTAAAATTAATTAACTAGCTCAGTGGTTCCAACCTTTTTAACTCGTGGCCCACTACACTAAGAAATGCATGTTTTGGCGTCCCACAGCAATAAGTGAACCCATTATTTGTGGAGGGTTGGTAACTTACTCAGATGCAAAGACTGTTAACTGTATCGAACTTAAACTATCAATGATTTGAATAAACAAAATTTACATAAGACAACAACACCCTAAAGAGACTCGGGTTGACACAAAGTAAACCGAAAAACCTAAATCCAGGCAGATGCCATAAGTGGGTGGACCTTAATCAGGGAACAGGTTCAGACAAGACTTGTGCGGGACAGATTTTTCAGCAATAATGAAGTTTTGCCCCCCTTCTGCGTTAGATCCAAGAAGATACAAATGTGACCTGCACTTAAGAATTGAAGATGCTCAACGGAGAAACAACAGTGGCAGTTTATCACTTACCAAGTGAAAGGGGCTAAATAATGCCTTGTTGAGTCAGTGAGAAAAACCCTGCTCACACTGTGGGACTTCAACCACGATTTGGAAATCTGGGACAAATTAGGGAAATCTATAAGATTCCTGAAATCCTAGGCTAAAATCTTTGATCTTTGTAGGTTGGTTTAAAGTTCTGGTAGTGTCAAAAGATTTCAGACACTTTCCTGCAATGTGACAACAGCTGGAACGAGCATCAATGCAATAACCAATAAGAGCCCCAACTCTGATGATGCAATATATGCGACAACTTCAAACCATTTTCTTCCTGGATCTATTTTTGAGGGCACGCTCTGTGCAAAATCGCCACATCCCACAAACGTAATGATGGCCAGACCAGAATTCACATATAAAATCTTGTCCAGGGGGCTGTTCCATAAACTAAGCTTAGAGAAAAAGCCAGGCTTATTTTGTTAAGTCAGGTTTATTAATAGCGGATTCCATTTCATAAATGAAATTTGTGATAGTTCAAACACAGTTACTCTGGCAACTTATACTGGGAAACAAGCCTCGTCCGGGACAGGTTAACTGTTAGGCTAAGTCAAGTTCATGCTTAAACAAAATAATGTCAACATTCGCCTGCCATTTGATGCCATTTTATTTCACTTTACCTCTTAATAATGATTAAAACTATATATTAATTGTAAATATATACACATCAAACATCTTTAATAATAGAACAATATTTACTTTTAAATTAAAATAATTTGCAAACAAAAATATAAACTACAACATTTCAACATTTTTTTTAATGTTTATGTTGATTTGTTTTCCTGTTTATAAAAATTTTACTTAATATTTTTCCTCAACCTATTAATTTGGATGTACTGTTTTTTTTTGACTGATCTTTAGTTTTTGTTTTGTTAGATTCGCTCCAAATTTTGCTTTGGTACTGAATAATCTAATGTATATGCACAAACATTTTATCATAAAGCATTCTGTAGAAAATATCAATTTAAAAAAATTGATCTGTGAGAGGGGTGTACTTAGCTACATATGTAGTATATGAATTACAAAATTGCAGTCAAGCACAGTTTCAATGTATTGTGACACATATTTAATTTAGCATTAATAGGCCTAGATAATGGTCTCTTTTTAATTAAGACAATCTGCAAATCTTATGTCAGCTTTTATCTTGCTTTGTTGCAAGCTGTAATTTTTGATTATTATGTTTAAATTATTATATATGTTTAAAACAAACGCAGCTCACTGGCTGTGAATAGCTGTGTCTTATTTCAGAGCTCTTTTGATTATCAAAGTTGCCATGATAGCAAACAACATAATCTATGTATCTATACTCGAACTCTAAGGTTTCACAACAGTAATGTGCACGAGCAGTTATCTAGATTATTTATACTGAACTCAGATTAGTTAGATCAAATAATCTTCAACTTGCTGTTATGGAACCAATTCAAGCGTGGACGTTTAGTTCGGCTCATTGAAGTTGGGTTTTTGACTTTAATCTCTGCTTTTCTTCTTAACCAGTTTTATAAAACAGCCCTTAGATCTCAGAGTGCAGATCTCAAGCAGTCAAAACCAGCAGAAAACAAGAGCACTAACCTATTGACAGCCAGCTTTGCAGCATGTTTAAAATTAGTAGGCTGTTATTAAACTAAGCAGTGACCATTTATTACCCATTACACATAAATTTGACATATATGAATGCTATTTCAATTAATAACAGCTTGTGGCCACCTTGCAATACTGCCATAACCCACTGGGAGGCCACAGCCCACAGTTTGAAAACCACTGAACCAGCTCATTAACAATCTTGTTCTCTTTTCTGGTTCCTGACTTAAATTTCTGGATCTCACAGCACATCTTAAACAACAGTCTTAAAAAGTTTGTTCCTCATACAGAAACTGATCATGAACACAACAAGTACCTCATGCTCCAGAGAGCTGTATTCTCCCTCAGTCTGCTCCCGTATGATCACCAGATCCAGGTTATTGTGGCGGGTGCTGTATCCAGGAAGGCTCTTCACGTGAACCACATTGGCAAACAGATCCAGCTTTCTCCTACAACAAGAAATGACCATTTAATCCAACAAAATCTAGCAGGAGACCGATTACTAGCACAAAGGATCTATGATAAAATATTTAAAAAGTACCTTAGTCTCATCTCATAAGATGCCAGTTCTCCCTTATATTCCATAGGAGTGTGAATCTTCCCTAACCATAGAGAGAATTAAATTAAGTTTATTAAATGGTGATGATCAATGCTACTTGCTGAGCATTTTTATAGATGCATACGTTTATCTGCTCATTAATGCAAATATCTAATCAGCCAATCACATGTCAGTGAGTCAAGACGTTTGAACATGGCATGATTACTGGTGTCAGACTGGCCGGTCCGACTTTTTCAATAAAGTGATGATATAATGTGATTTTCAAGCATAATCACCTCTAGGATCTACAGACAATGGGGAAAAGAGGAGAAGATACCAAATCTAAAATATTGACCAGACTGATTCAGCCATTACATGGTTCTTAAACCCTTTCAAAATTCAAGTTTAAGCACAAATCAAGTTTAAGATCAACAGAGGCTGTACCTCTTCATCAGCTGAGGAAGTTCAACCTTCCAAAGGAGCTACTAAAACAGTTCTACACTTCCATCACTGAATCAGTCCACTGCACGTCAATAACTGTCTGGTTTAGCTCAGCTACCAAATCCGACCTCCGAAGACTACATAGTTCAGACTGCTGAGTGAATCACTGGTACAACATTCCCTACTCTCCAAGAACTGTACTTATCAAGAGCGAGCAGAAGGGCTGCCAAAATCACTCTGGACCCCTCACATTTAGGCTCTATGAACCTTTACCTTCTCGTAGACACTACAGAGCACTGTGCAGCAGTACAGCCAGACACAGAAACAGTTTCGTCACTCAGGCAATCCATCTTAATAACATCTTATGATAGTAACTGTGAAATAAACTTCAATACTTATCATACACATATACACTTATTAGTCCTACCAAGCATTCTTGCAGACCATGAGCAACAACAGGATAACACATTATGTCTCAAATCATCTTCATAAAAAGGAGTAAAAAAAAACTTAAATGGCCTAAACAGTCAGCAGAGCTCAATCCAATTGAGCACGTTTGAATGTGTCAGAATGGGAGATTCAAATCATGGATGCCAATATGAACCAAAAAGCTGAAGAATGTTTGCAGCATCTCGTTAAATCAATGTCAAAACATAATGAATGTAGTTTGAAGAGAGCATTAAACACGGTACTAGTGTGATGCATCTAATAAAGCAGCCAGCAAGTGCACATCAGCTTGCACTATTTAACATCTTAGGACACAAGTAACAACATTAAACATTACCCTTGATGGCCACTCTGTTGTTCTTCATTGAGGAAAGCACCTCGTTCAGTTTCTCCTCACTAGCCATGTTCTGCACCTCGCTCAGATGAAACTCCTCAAACTCCACAGGGACATCAGCAGCCTAAAGGGTGAGGTGAAAGATTTGCCTTAGAAACTGGGGTAGATGCGACAATTAAGTATTTATTGTATTGATTTATTCATATTTTGAAAACTATACAGTGTTTTAACATCCAATTTACTCCATGTACCTGAATATCTAAAGAATCCCAAAAAACCATAATACACCGTTTATTTAATTTGTATAGTTCTGTTGTATTTATCAATGCTTGAATTTTGTTTATTATTTTTTATTTACTCTTCTGCAGAATCATCCCAACCAATCTAAATTAATAAATTCATTCCAAACATGTCTATTTAAGCCATCTGGTGAAACTGTGCAGTAGTAAACATTTAAAGTGGATTAAAACAAGCAAAAAAGTGACAACTATAGTCAAGAATTGGTGCTGTTGAATAGTTTCAGGACAGCTTTGAATAAAGTTTTTGAAAGATTCCACTTCAAAGGTTGACTACTATCGTCACATCGCAGAAAACGTAAATATCGCAATGTCAGTTTTTTTCTAATATCACACAGTCCTAGAGACATTTTAGGATTTCTTCATGTCTAATAATCAGTACCTTGAAAACCTCTTTGACTGCAGTCATCAGCTCCGGTCCAACTCCATCTCCTGGGACCATGGTGACCTTAAAAGTGCTGTCGGCACGGGCCGGTGGACTCTCTGGAACATTCTGACTGGAGGTCAAACTCAGAGAACGGGCACACAAAGGCTGCAACCGGACCCCCGTCAGACCCTGTGGTTCACAAATGTCACAGGTAAACATTGAACAGATCAAAACTGGTATTTCTACAATAAAAACTGCATCATGGGATAAGGGCGTGTGTGGAGGTCTGCAGTCCTGAAGAGTTATCAAATGCAAAAAGGGCATTAAAGACAGCAATATGTGCATATATAAAAACACATTATATATATGCAAACCTGGTCAGTTAATCATTCAATACTTGTACAATAGTGTTTTAATTAAACAAAAAACGCTGCCTATTTTATCAGTATTATGTAGAGAGATATGTTTATAATAAATAGGCTTATAACAAAAAAAATACATCAATAAATAACACAAAATAATGTAAAATCTAAAAGATTTTTCTAATACTGTTGAAGGATTCACATTTTAAAATCTCTCTAAACAGAGTTGTCTCAAAATAGCGCATTGCAAAATATATGTTTATTAGTATTAAGCAAAATAAGTTTCTGATGCTGACAGCCTTTGAGATTTCTAGTATAATTTTATTGACAAATATGAATAACAAAAACTTTAAATGAAAAAATAACAATAATATTTAAAAGAAATAAATGAACAGAAATGTTTGAGCCAAAATAAAAGCATAAAAATGTGAAACCTTAGATTTAAGATCCAATATCTTAAAGTAAAAGGCTCTTCTAGAAAAGAGACTGGAGTCAAGAAGCAAGAGTTAGAAAATCCTCCAAAGTTTACACAGACTGAAGCTCTTACATCTTAGTGTCAGGACCAGATGTTATGTCTGGTAGGTTAAGGACAAACAGATCTATCCATAATATCACTAAACTACATCGCACAGAATGTTGCCTCTATCTAAGTGGAGTAAGGTCAAGGTGAGGTCATGTAGTCACAGTAACCCTTCAGATAACCTAGATGCTATCAGATAAACTAGGCAAGAAAGAGTTGTGATTTTCACAAATTTCTAACTGAAAAAGCTGAAAAGCACCTTGTCGTGCAAATATCAACCCTTGGAAACAAGATTTTGTACTATTTTCTAAGAATAACTGGCAGGCTCTCTAAATGTCAGGCTGCAGAAAATATACTACTACACTTGCACAATTTAAAGACAAAAACAGAAAAAGAGATGATACATGAAAATTTGTGTTAAATTACTTAAGTTATGTATTAAAGCTTTCAATAAATGATTTATGATTAAATAGCTTGATAATTTGAGAAGATATAACACATGAAAATAAATAATAATTATAGAACATAAACCTTTTTGTCCACCAGTTTCACTATAAATCAAAAACATAAATCCATGATATCAGAAATCTTACCTAACGTTAGTCTATTCTATTAACGTTATATTATTGTGTGTGTGTGTGTGTGTGTGTGTGTGTGTGTGTGTGTGTGTGTGTGTGTGTGTGTATACACACACACACACACACACACACAAACAAGCGTTCCAACGCTAATAAACAAAAAAAAGAGCTTTTCTTTATAATAGAAACTTATTCAAAATAAAAATAACGATCTGGAAGTGTTTTTGGGCGCGGTGTGATCAACAGGCTTGTCACGTAAGTATAGTTGTTTTGACCGCAAATTAGTGACATTAAAATATGAATGTTCCATAACATTAATCTTTTAATTTAAAAGGTATTAGGACAATTACCAACAAGATGCCACCTCAGTGTAAGGAGCTTTTCAGGAATATTCTAGAAATCTGCATACTCCATACTTTCTCATAATGTTACACCTTACCCTGAGGGCTGACATTTATATTTCAGTTTATTTTGATGCAACAAAATCTCAACCTGCCTTACATCGCAAGACAAAACTGTTTGTTTCCTAGTTAACGTTTAGAGGTGTGCCTCAAGCAACAATACAAGTATGTCACTTAAAATATAAGCAAATGGGAACATCATTTTTTAAGACTCACCTTGGCGAGAGTTAGGACGCTCCCTCTCAGCGCGGCCGCCATCATGTGTTAACGCGAGGAAGAAGAAGGTCGCCGTGATCTTCCTCCTGCACGAGGAACCGTGAGCTGCGCGCTTCTCTACTGACCCCTGCTGGGGCCACGCGTAATGCACACTTATTTCACCGCCACTAGAGGCCCTCGGTTCACTGTTTTTGTAATATACAGGGTGATTCAAAAATAATACCACAAATTTGACAATCAAGAACTGCGAAGTAGAAAAGGAGAGCTAAGTTCTTTCTGTCGTCGATTTAAGAAAGCTCTGAAGTTTCATTTGGTTGCTTATTTAGTCGCTAGGAGCGCTGTTGTCATCATGTTTCTTTGATTAAATACAGATTTTCAGAGTTGTGGTATTCTTTTTGAATCACCCTATATCAAGGATAACCAAACTTGTTCCTGCAGGCTGATGTCCTGCAGATTTTAGCTCCAACTCTAGTCAAACACACCTGAACACACACCTGAACAAGCTGATCAAGGTCTTACTAGGTATACTTGAAACACCCAGGCAGGTGTGTTGAGGCAAGTTGGAGCTAAACCCTGCAGTGCACCGGACCTCATGGTGACCCGCGTTCAATTTCTATCTTGAGGTCCTACTGATCCTTGCCCTCTCTCTGCTCCCCATGCTTTCCTGTCTTACTACTGTCCTATCTATTAAAAGTGAAAAAAATAAATAAAAATAAATAATAATAATAATAATAATAATATATATATATATATATATATATATATATATATATATAGTCTTATTCCTTTTGTTCATTAGTGTTTGCCACAGCAGAATGAAATACCAACTTATCCAGCAAATGTTTAATGCAGCGGATGCCATTCCAGCTGCAATCCAGTACTGGGAAACATCCATACACACTTTTTCACATACATACACTAAAGCCAATTTAGCAATTCACCTATAGCGCATGTCTTTGTACTGTGGGGCAAACCGGAGCACTCGGAGGAAACCATGAGGAGAACATGCAAACCCACAAACACAGGGAGAACATGCAAACTCCACACAGAAATGCCAACTCGAACCAGCAACCTTCTTGCTTTTGCCTAGGGGGCCTCAGTTAATTGTTTTTTTTTTAAATATAGTGAATAAAATATTTATTAGAATATATATTAGATATACTTATTTAATTGCTACTGAGTTCAATCGGTTTAAACATTTAGACCAGGGATGGGCAAACTTGATCCTCGAGGGCCAGTGTCCCTTCAGAGTTTTGTTCCAACACTAGGCAAACACACCTGAACAAACTAATCAGTGTCTTCAACATCACTTGAACTCTTTAATGAGGTCCGTTTGAATAGGGTTGGAGCTAAACTATGCAGGACACTGGCCCTCCAGGATCAAGTTTGGCCACACCTGATTTAGACTAAGGCTATTCAACGTTCCACTAGATTTAATGAGAAAACTACAAAAACACAAACTTGTCAACATTTAGATTTATGTTTTTGTCGTCAGAGACATTTACGTTTCCTTTTAAAAATATAGTTTTTCCACATTCTGGAGTCAAACGAGTACTGAAATGAAATCTAATTGAAGTAAATCACACTGACAATTTCATCAAAATGCATTTTAATTCATTTAACCGGTCCCTCATTTGTAACTGGATTTTTAAATCCTGACAATTACATACAATTTATGATGAAATTGGCATTGAATACGGGATAAATCTGTAGCCTGAAGATCTTCTATTTGTCTTCGTTGTGTAACTAGTTGAAAGAAATATCTCTTGTTAGTTTTTTGCACCAAAAACCTTTGAGACACAAAAGCTCATTTCAATAAGCAAATATAAAAGGTTAAAATGATAGTTCACCATTCATAAAATGAAAATCTCCTCATCATATCATTACACTCAAGTGGTTGTAAACATTTCTGAATTTCCTTCATCTGCTGAACTCAAAACAAGCTATTCTGAAAAATGGTGAGCCATTAACATCCATAGTTGGAACAAAAATACTATGGAAATCAATGGCTTTCTTTTAGCATTCTACAAAATATGTTCCTCGATGTTCAACAGAAGCAACTCAAACAGGTTAGAAATGAGTGGAGTGTGAGTAAATGATGAGAGAATTTTTATTGTTGGCTGAACTATCCCTTTAACTAAGATGATTTTAACAGCAATTAAGCGTTTGGATGTTCAGTAAGGCCAGAAATACTCACAAGTCCGAAGTCATCAACATATGTATACTTTTGCTCCTTGTAATGTTGCTTCCTTTTCATAAATGTCAACACAATCCAGTCACAGATGACGTTCACCTTAAACAGACCATGAAAAGTATCAATTGTAATCATTAGAAATGCAAAATTGAAATATTAATTCAGTAAGTCTTAATTGTGTTTTCAAAAGTTTCTCATATTTGATCAAATTTGTTCAGACATGCTTACCAGGCCTAGAAGTGCCAAGCCTGCACCCATATTCAGAAGTGTTGGGATGATGTTGAATTTCCCAGCCTGTGTTGCAAATAAGGGTTTTATTAATGTGTAAACAGCCGTTAAAACATTGAACAAACACTGAACATTCTGTCAGTTTAGGCACCCTCCAATCCTGTTTGAGATTTCTTCTGTTGAACTCAAAATGAGATATTCTGAAGAATGCAATCAATGGCTACCACTTACCAACATTCTTCAAAATATCTTCTTTTTTTAGTTTAACAGAAAAAATAAACTCATAAAGCAATTGTAACCACTTGTGAGTGAGTAAATTGTGAGTAAACGTTCCTATTTGGGTGAACTATCCCTTTAAGGCCCTGATATACTAAGAGTAAAGTCGAAGAACAAATTAATGTAATAACATTCAGAATTAAAATAATCAAAACAAAGTTTGTTTCTAGAGTCCTATCCCAACAAACATATTCTTTGTTCATCCCTTTATTCATCAGGGGTCGACGCAGCAGAATGAACCACCAACTTATCCAGCATGTGTTTTACACAGCGGATGCCCTTCCTGCTGCAACCCAGTACTGGGAAACACACATACACTCTCACATTCACACTAATACACAATGGCCAATTTTCTTTATTCAATTCACCTATAGCACATGACTTTGGACTGTGGATGAAACTGGAGCACCCGGAGGAAACCCACGCAAACATGGGGAGAACAAGCAATGCACACAGAAATGCACAGCCAGGACCCATGTGACCTTCTTGCTGTGAGGCGAGCCTTCTTGCTGCTGCCCCAGACTTTGTTTAAATGATGTCTAATAGACGTCCAAACATGAACATAAAAGATTCTGAATCTGGGTTCGTAAGAAAGCAGTGTGTGTTTGTGTGTGTTTTGGTGTGTATGTGTGTGTGAGAGAGAGTTTAGCATAGAAGCAAATTGAATATTATACATTAAGGCAAACCACTGCAGGTAAGGCAGTAAAAAAGTTTTTTTTTTTTTAAATTAGGCTAAATTTGGGCTTTCAGTGAAAATCCAATAGACGTCTGGCAGTAGTCCAAATGCACAGGAATGAATGACTAGATATGTAAAGTATGTTAACGATGACTAGTATTCTTATGTTCTATTATTAGACATCTATTATTAGACATCTATTTATTTATTTTTTTTCACTCCCTTGTTTTAGCCACATGTCTATGTTTAAATGTCTATTAGATGGCTTTAAATTCCAAATTTGCTTGGTGGAAAGCCAGCTTCTCTGTACTTCTTATTAAAAAAAATAAAATAAAAAATTTCACTGGGAGTATATCTGGCCCTTTAGAAAAATCAAAGGTGTCTCACCTGGCCAAATACCATGACATCAAAGCGAATACCATAACCCTTGATAAGTGTCCTGGTCTCAGTGCCATCACTGTTCTTGTAATATTTAGCAAATCTGTAGAGATTTCAGCAAACCATGCCTCATTTAATGCAACCTCGCTTTCTCTGAGGATCTACTTTTACTAACTCCAATCACATCTTACCTAAAGTTGTACCCTGGAGCCACATTATTATCTGGGTCTTTGTTGTCTAGCCTGCGGAAAGTGTAGCGAGGTACACACCAGCTCTGTGGCATATCAAGATCACAATCCCACCGGATCTGAACTCCCATCACTCCGCCCTAAACAGAAGAGAAATTGTGCATAAATGAAAACCTGGAGATGCCATTAAAGGATTTGTTCACCATGCAAAACTGTGTTATAAATTAATTCCCTGTTCCTATTCCCTGAGACCATTGTTTATCTTGTGTATACAAATTAGGATATTTTAAATGAAATCCTAGAGCTCTCTTGTCCTCCATAGACAGCAAGGGACCCGGGATAATCCATAAAGTCAAACGTTGTCGAAACATTCAATGTGACTACAGTGGATTAGATGTAATCATATGAAGCTCCAAGAACACCCTTGTGCACCAAAAAATCAGCAAAAATGACAAATTTTGTCATCAAACTTTGAACATCTCAAAATTATTGCTGTCTATGAATGGTCAGAGAGCTCTCAATTGTAAAATATCTTAATTTGCTGGGTCTCTGGGAATTGGAACAACAAGAGGGTGAATAATTAACAGCAAAACTTTAATTTTTGAGTGAACTAACCCCTCAAAAGCCTTTTATAATAATAGTACTAGGTCTCTTTTGCTCTTAAATGTCAAATACGCTCTTACATGGACAGCCATGATCTGAAAATCCTCTTCAGCTTCTCCAACAATGTCTCCAAGTCTGAAGATTGGACAGTCAGGATCCGTTTTACGGCTAAACACACAATGTGTCAAGTAGGAGCTGTTTATATTCGGTAAGATGTTCCTTCTGTAAGGATGCAAAGAGAATATTGCATTCAGGTAATATACTGGCAGATAATTCATTAATAAATAAGAAAAGCATTTGAAAAGCTTACTTGTTGAAGTTAAATTTGGGATATCGAATATTATTCTTTATGAGCACAGTGAAGTTTTCAGCATCTGCAAGTAGTGGTGGGCTGAGGTATAAAAATATAGAACATAAAAACATTAGTCACAATTAAATTCCATACAGTATTGGTCACAGATTTTCGGCAGATTTTCTATTTAATTTGTAATGTGATTTTATTTACAGTACACAGAAAAATAAAGGGATGGTTCAAGCTAAACTGAAAATTCTGTCATCGTTTACGGAGCCTTCACTCGTTCAAAACCTGTTTGACTGACTGTCTTCTGTTGAACACAAAAGAAGATGTTCTGAAGAAAGCCAGAAACCTGTAACCATTGACTACCACATTATTTGTTTATCCTACTATAGATGTCAATGGTTTTCAGCTTTTATCAATGTTACCTTTTTCTGTGCTGAGCAGAATAAAGAAATTACTAAACTACTGCTTCTAAATATTTGGGTAAACTATCACTCTAAATGCAAGTACAGTGTTTACATTAATTTTTTAAATATCTTGTGTAGAGAAAAACAAAGTTAAAATGTAAAATGTTCCAATTCAGCATAATTAAGTACACTCCATTTTAAAAATACATATTTGTATTCATTTCTCAGTGAATATAGGCAATGCGTTTTGGTGCATTTAAACAAAACAGATTTATTAAACAGATATATTTATCAAAATAATATTTTAGTCACCAAACATATTTAGAAATCGAAAGACAATACAATTAAATTGAAACAAAATATTGCAACAAAAAAATTAGAACCTACAAAATTTCAACTAAATTTTTTATTTTTTTGCGTCTCTTGATTTTTCCTCTTTCTTAAATTTTTATTTAATATTTTTCTATAACATTTAAATTTGGGTTTACTAGTTTTTGGACCGTTATCGTAAGTTATTTAGTTAGAAAAGCTCAGTACTGACTAATCTAATGAATATACACACATTTAACATTGTAGCTTCCTTTTAAAAATATGAATTTAAAAGATAAATTTGTGAGGGGTGTAAGCATATATGCTGAGCAGCGTATTTTGCAAATCGAAAACAGCATACTTTTTAGAATTATTTATATTATTTTAATAAATTTTTATATTGTTATATCAAGTGTAAGCATTACAAATCATTAAAATGTATAAGCAACAAATAGGTAAAACCTTGTGAATGACAGTAGGAAAGTACTAACGTAGTATATTAGAATTAATTGGTGACCCTGTTATCCTTAAATCAAGTCTTTGCCATCAAATTATTTTTGTTATAAATAAGCCTGAAAAGATTGCAAGACTGCAATATGCTTGATAAGTTGGCGGTTCATCCGCTGTGGCGACCCCTGATTAATAAAAAGGAACTAAGCTGAAAAGAAAATGAATAAATGAAGATTGCATGATATACAGTTGAAATCAGAATTATTACCCCCCCTGTTTATTTTTCCCTAATTTCTGTTTAACGAAGAGTTTTTTTCAGCACATTTCTAAACATAATAATTTTAATAACTCATCTCTAATAACTGATTTATTTTATCTTTGCCATGATGACAGTACATAATATTTGACTAGATATTTTCAAGACACTTCTATACAGCCTAAAGTGACATTTAAAGGCTTAACTAGGTTAATTATCCAAGTTGGAGTAATTAGGCAAGTCATAGTATAACAGTTGTTTGTTCTGTAGACAATTAAAAATATATATTGTTTAACAGGCTAATAACATTGACCTAAAAATGTTTAAAAATAAAAAAAACTATTTTTATTCTAGCTGAAATAAAACAAACAAGACTTTCTACAGAAGAAAACAATATTAGCAGAAATACTGTGGAAAATTCTTTGCTCCATCAAACATTATTTGAGAAATATTTTCTAAAAATTGTTTTAATTTACAGGAAGGCTTATAATTGTGCATTCAACTGTATATAAACTATTGATCCTGAAAACAATAAGCAAAACATATTCCAATGTACAGAAGAAAAATAATAGAATTAGGGTTTTACTTCGGGGGATCGACAATTTTTTCTAAAGGACACCAGGACAGCACCTCACAAGTCTTCACAGAGGCAGAATAACTGACACATCTGCCTGTCCGAACACCTGAACAAAATCAAATGCATTAAGTTATGTCTCTAAAATGATCTACTTGCTGTTCAACAGATTTAAAAGTAAATGCTGAGCCATACCATCTCCACGAGCATCATTGAAGCCTCTCTTGCAGTCCCTGTGCGAAGTGCACGTGGATGCAGGAGTTGGATTCTAATAACAGGAGTCAAAATAAAACAAAAATGTAATTGTAAAATGTAAAAATGTTTTTAAAAAATGTAAGAAGCATGACACTAAATTACATTATTTTAAAATATGAGCTAAATAATCAAGTAACATTGTTTTGTAATCATTTTAATTTAATTTTTGTAATACAATCAAATTTGACCATTTCAGCTGTATAAATTTAGAAACAAAATCAGCTATTTGTTAATCACTTTTTAATATTAAGTGAAAAGTAGAACACTATACTTCCCTTAAAGACTCACTTCTGCACATTTGGACTGTGTTTGGTTTGTTGTGATGATCATGTTGGTCAGCACGAAGAACGATCCATCCTCCTGAAACATTCAAAAGCACATGATTTTGGGTAATAAAGTTCCTCATAATTTAGGTACGAAAAAAGGTATAGTTCACCTCAAATATGAAAAAACACCACTTGTTCCTAACCTGTTTGAGTTTCTTTCTTCTGTTGAACACAAAGAAAGATATACCAAAAAATGTTTATTGACTTCAATAGCATTTTTATAGATAGAAATGTCTGTTAATACAAAAGAACGTAGGGGAAAAAACAACCATTTACCTCCATAGCATTTTTTATCCTACTGAATATAAATGGCAGCTTTTACCTCAACATTCTTCTGAATGTCTTGCTTTGTGTTTAACAGAAAAAAAAAATTCATGTAAGTTTTGAACCACATTTTTTATTTAATTATCTCTTGAATACTTAATATCCATTTAACCCTTTAAGGTGCACTCCTTGAATTTATATCCACATCATGGATTAAATAAAATACCGACACAACTCTGATAAATGGTAATAAGCAATTAAAATAATTATGATAACCCAGGATAAAAAGTTAACCAGGTGGTTGCGAGGCCTGTTTAAATGTTATACAACTAAATCACGATTAATTGCTATTACACAGTACAGAGACTTGTTTGTTGTGTAGTTTTGATGATAAATAATAACAAAAGAAGAGTAAAATACATTTCCCTAACAAATGTTTTAACGTTATATCAAATAAATTACTGCACATTTAATAATTAAAATACTCAAATTCAATTAAAAAATCAGGTAACCTTTGCAAAAAATTCAGTCTCACCTGACTTTGTTAAGTAGAGCGTGCAACTGCTGCAAATTAATTTGTTTAGGCAAATGTTATGGTTTTGCACTAGTCAAAACAAGATATATGCAGTTAAATATTTGGTAAGAAGTATAACCACAGACATACAGTCTATCTTCAAATAGTTTTTTTTTTGTAATACACATAATAATTTCCAAATTAAAAAGAAACAGCATGAAATGTGGCAACTTAATTGTGTTTAAATCATTTTAATTATCTAAATGTATAGAAAGTCTTGGTTTCTATGACTCACAATAAAATCAAACAGCTTAAAATAAAACGTTTGTAATGTTTCAGCATGAAAGGCAAAAATCATTGTGTGCACCTTGAAATACACTGAAAAAAAATGATTCAAAGAAGATTCCTTGGATTCCTTGGTAAGTGGTTGTAAACAAGTTATTTGGGCTGGATTTAAACAAACAAATTAAGTTGAACATTACTAAATTTTATGGGTTTGTTTAAACTCAACACATAAATAGTAAGCAACAATTTAGCAGAAATCTTTTTTTTTTTTGTCCATTTATTGCACATTAAGAGTATTAAGAGTAAATCTTAGCTGTTTGCAATATAGGTGGAGCCATATAAGAACCATTTTTGGTGCACCAAAGTACCTTTCCTTAAACAGATTTTAAACAACCATTTTTTTCTTAGTTTGAAAATGTTTGCAATTTAAAAAAATCTTTATTCACTAAAAATCTTCTGTGAAGAGAAAAATCAAAACTCACCATTTACTCACCCTGAAACAATTCTTTATTCTGGTGAACAAAATAAGAAGATATTTCAAAGTAAGCTGAAAACCTGAAACTATTGTCGTCCAGAGTAGGAAAAACAATTACTTTGGTTAAAGCTTTCCCACTTTCTTCTAAATTTCTTCTAAAATAATAACTTATTTTGTGTACAACAGAAACATGTTTTGAATTAAATTTGACAAATAAAATTTGAAAATGAAATGACAGAATTTGGGGGTGAACTTTCCCATTGATCAAATATTATTACTTAGTAAACTTTTAAAAGTAAACCTTTATTGGATAGATGCTTCATTTAACATGAATGGATACTTTTCATTAAACAAAAGGGTAATTAGTTCATAAAAAAAATATTTAAAGAAATATTTTACAAAGTTCTTTTATGGCATCACAGTGAGTGTTTTTTTACTGGCAGCTTTATGCTGAAGAGTGTATGAAGAATATTGTCATAAAAATAACAGACAACAATTTAAATCTAAAGTTTAAACGTTTATCACAGAACCACCAATGCCGATTTTGATAGTGTAGGGAAGCGCAGGGCACAAAGTAATGCAGAGTAAAATGTAACACCAAGTTTTAAGGTATTTTCTTATGGTTAACCAATGGTTAGGGTTTTTTATTGCTAATAATGCAAATACATATATTGTATAATGGATAATGATGCAAATGAATCCAAATATATTTATCCAATTAATAAACTAGCTGTGCTATGTAGAATAAAAATGAGTAAAGTACTGAGGAAATATGCTATATACAAGTATACTATAAACATATACTAATAACACAACTTTTATAACTTGCCCCAACAGGTGGGGTAAATAGTAACATTTTTACTCCTGGCACTTTTAGCAATACTGCACAGAAACCATAGGTCTGGTGATCATACTTTCAGTGCTCATTTGTAAGAGAGGCTTGTGTGCTGTTGATAAAAAAATGGTTTGTCTAACCCCCTTATTTTGTTCATTATTTGGCCAAAACCAAAAAATTTTCATTTGTGCCCTGCTCTCCCCTATGTTAACTTACGAACACCTTTATTCTGAAGAATGAACAAAGAATATTAGAATAATCATTACAAACAACAATTTAAATGGAAAGTTGAAACATTTATCATGAAACCATCAGTGCCATATCTACCTTTATTTTTTGACAGATAAGCTAAAGGGATAAAGGTTGAAATCCACTGCTTTCAAAGCTCCAGCCACACCTTTACTACCCAAGAGACACTGTTCAAATTGACCTCAATGAAAATAGGCTTGTGTATTATTAACACATACTACACACAGAACTAAGCAAAGTGAACATGAAGGTTTATCAGCATGCAGGTGCAAATTATCCACACTCCATTAAACTTTCATAGTGGCACCAGTGAGTGGTCTGGTCATTTAAATAGTCTATCTTGTACCTCCTCTTCATCTAATCGGCGAACTACCTGAGGTGGAATAATGTAATCAGCCACATCCCAGATCCTTTCGCCCAGTTCACTGGTGTTTGTTAAAGCAATTCCTTTCACTTTGGTTGTGACTGAGCTGAGAACGGTGTCTGTGTCTTGGTAGCCTTTGTTGTAGACACACACATACCTGTATGCAAATAAGGAAGTTACAATAGAAGTGTGAACTGTGCTCTTTATGTATTTATTAAACTTACCCGATAACGTAGGCTATGACTAAAGCTTGAGTGAAGCGATTCAGCGTTCCCACTTTCTTACTCCTGATGATCAGTATTTTAGACGTGTAGTAGTCGAAAAAACACTGACTGACTGAATCACAGCAACCAACACTTTCACTCATTGTGAACGGCCGACTTAAACATTAAATCACTTCCACTTTTTCCGCCGGTTTATTTCCCTGTCTGTCCACTCATAGTCACAAGTTCGGTAGGTTATTAACTCACAGCAACGCCACACTGCGGTTCAAGCTAACACACGTCCCGCTCACCGGTGTTTCACTTTCTCAAGTAGAGATAAGATCACGTCTACTACCGAAAAACACTTAATGACTGGTTGATCCGGTAATAGAGATTTGACACAGATTTTCTATATTTATTATATGTTTTACATTTAAGAGACATTCTACCAGAAACGCTATCTGAAATGAAAACAAATACATTGAAAAAAATCATCCCAAAATTGTCTAAAATAGACTGATGATTGATTTTTGTGAGTTGTTTTGTAAAGGACTATGTCATTCATTTGGTTCTCAGATTTTTGTTTTTTATTAAAAACACTTTACACTGTACACACTCTGTCATTGTCCTTGTCCTGAGCCCAATAGAATCTACAAGCTTTAAAAATATTGTTATGCCAAAAAACTGTTTTTTAGAGGGGAAAAAAACTTCAGAAATTGTTATCACTCACATCAATTGATTAAAACATGACACTATAAATAAATTCTATACAAATAAATTTACAACTGGCCTCATGTTTCTGTCAGTCATGTCACATTTGTATTAAATTTAACTTAAAATGCATGCAATGCACCTTTAAGGCTAACTCATTTGAGGGAGGAGAAGCTGACAATAAATTGTCTGATTTTATGCTTATTTTTAATGAATTTATTTTTTATTTTTTTGAGGACAGAAAAACTGAAGTCAGGCTCTGTAACATTTTTTATAAGTGAAAACGTACAATTCTTGTTGAGTGTCCCATAACAGCTGTTTTCTGCATTACAGATTCAATAGACATTAACCACAGGCCTCCATAAAAACTTAATAAAAGGTGAGCATTATTGGTTAGAAATATAATATTTACATCAGATTCGTTAAAGTATATATCAAGCTACAGTTTGCTCATAATTAAAAATAGAATTGCCTATTTGGACAATTATTATTGCAAAGTATGCATAACTTTATCCACTCATTCTCTTTGAAAAATCACTTAAATATTTGTTTTTTCAGAATAAATATTGTCCACCATTTGTTTAGTTTTCAATAGGCCCAATATATGGACATGTAAATTCATTGGCATTCTGTGTATTTCTGAATTTGCAAGCAAATAGCAAAATCCCCTCTTTCCATAAATCACCTGAGGCAACTAATTACAAACATTAAGATTTTGAGGATGTGTTTTTGATTTAATGCTTTAATATAACAAATCATATTTCATTGAATTTGTAATCACACACTTTAAAGCACAGGTCTCAAACTCGATTCCTGGAGAGCCACAGCTCTCCGCAGTTTTGTTCCAACCCTAATTAAGTTGATCTAACTAATCAAGGTGTTCAAGAGTACTAGAGACTATTAAGCAGGTGTGAGTTGGAGGTGGTTGGAGCTAAACTATGCAGAGCTGCAGCCCTCCAGGAATTGAGTTTAAGACCATTGCTCTAATCGGAGACACCTGGGCTAGCTAATCAAGCTCTTACTAGGCTTTCTAGAAACATATCTGCAGGTGTGTTGAGGCAAGTTGGAGCTAAAATCTGCAGAACATTGGCCCCCCAGGGCCGAGTTTGGACACCCCTGCTCTAAAGTAAAGGTCTAATACTCAGTACTAAGGGCTGCAGCTCTGCACAGATTTGCTCCAACCTTGTTCTAACAAAGCTGATCCTAATCACTGTGTTCAAGAGTAGTCTTAATCACCTCGAATATTTGGATCAGATGAGTCTGATTACAGCTGGAGCAGAACTGTGCAGAGCTGCGGCCCTCCAGGAAATAAGTTTGAGCCCTTTAGTCTAAAGGGTTTTTCAGTTCATAATTATAAGAGAACCAATTTAGCTGCAATATAGATTCCATAAGGAAACTGCTTCTCCAGCAGTTGATAGCACATTGCTAGAAAATATTGTTTACTAAATAGCACTTAAATTAGTTCCCCTGGTTAAAAGCCAAGAACCACTTTAAGTGATATTTATTCATTAATTTTTCTTTGGCTTAGTCCCTTTATTCATTAGGGTTCGCCACAGAGGAACGAACCGCCAACCCATTCAGCATATATTTTACAAAGAGTACTGAGAAACATCCTTACAAACTCCATTACACACATACACCCCGGCCGATTTAGTTTATTCAATTCACCTACAGCGCATGTCTTTGGACTGTGGGGAAACCGGAGCACCCGGAGGAAACCCACGTTAACGCAGGAAGAACATGCATAAACCATAGTGAGTATGGAAGAAAATACATAAATTTATTCATTTTCCTTCGGCTTTGTCCACTTATTCATCAAAGCTCACCACAGAGGAATGAACTGACAACTTACCCAGCATGTTTTACACAGCAGACTGCAACCCAGTGTTGGGAAACACCCATACACACTATACACTATGGACAATTTAGCTTATTCAACTCATCTATAGCGCATGTCTTTGGACTGTGGGGGAAACCGGAGCACCGGGAGGAAACACTTGTAAACATGGGGAGAACATGCAAACTCCAAAATGCCAATTAAGCCAGTGGGGCTTAAACCTGCAACCTTCTTGCTGTGAGGCCACAGTGCTTATACTTTTTTTTTTTTTTTTAAACAGCAGGGTCAAATAAACAGAATCGACTGATGACCAAAGACTAATTTATTAACATTATTGGAGATTATTATTGGGGAAATAGCTGAATAAAAGTATCATGCCTCTACATGAAATGAACAAAAAGGTGCCATTCGTGCGAAAATTTCTGCAGGAAACCATATGATATCTGATTACATTCCATAAACACAGGAGGAGGAAACATTCCTCCCAACTCCTTCCCATGGGTGTTGAGTGATTTTCTGGAACAATGCTGTTTTGAGTATCTCTGTGTTACTGCATGTTTTTTAAAGGTCACAGTGAGTGCAGCGATTAAGAATTTGAGCGTGAACACAGCTGGAAACATGGCCTTTCACAGTTTGTTTCTTTTTATTGCTCCACACAGAAACATGAATGATTCTTGCATTCATCTGCCAAAGCATGACCATGCCTGTATATAGAATTCATTGTATTATTTGTTTACAGAAAAAGAAAATCCCACAGAATTTTTGACCAAGCATTAAAAATAACTTATTCATTTAACTGATGCTGTTTATGAGAGGAAATACTTCAAAATCTTGTCTTTCAATGGACTCAACCCTTTGGGATCAATGAATTTGGCATTGTCCCGCAAGGACATGGTTGCCTGATGAGCCTCATCAAACAGCTCAGCCCCGATCGCTTCTCTGACTCGGTCTTTCCACGCCTTGAGCTTGGGTCTGTTCTCAAACACATCCATACCAGCAGCAAACGGCTGAAACAAACCAAAAACAACAAAAACATCATCAATTATAGATCAGTTGTTAGTTATGGCTAATAACCCCTATAGCTAAGGTTCATCTCAATTAACAACTTAACCAAAATAAGCTCTGTCATCATTGACCCACGGTCCTACCTTTACAAATACACTGTAAAAAATTATAGTCCCAATTAGTTATGGCAACTTAATAATTTATGTTACGTTAGCTTATCTAGATTGAATGTGTTAAAAAAAAAATCAGCAGAAGAGAGAGTCAGCTGAACTCATATATTAGTCAACACAACTTCTTAAAACAAATGGGTCCCTATCATACACCCGGCATAATATGGCGCAAGACATGTATGGCAGGATTTGTTGCTATTTTCAGACCAGCGTAACTCTAATTTTCACGTTTTGCACCACATTGTTTAAATAGCAAATCCATTAGCTCCACTTTGTAGACTCATGGGTGTGGTGGTCTACAATAGAGGTGTGTTAAGGCACATTGTTGGCGTGTTGCTATTTTGAATAAGTTAAATAGAAGAGTGTTTTTTTTACCACTCTTCATTATTTTTGTTCATTTATTTTTTTGATAGAAAATAAAACGGAATTTAGAAATAGTTTTAAGTAAATCTTTGCACTTAAAAAACTAAATTAAATATGTAGGTTAATGGATGTCTTCAGTTGAGTGCATACAGCATCGTTTCCCCATCCACAAAAGTAAAGAGTAAAAGTAAAAAGAAAGAGAAAGTAAAGAGGCCAAATGGAAGAGGCTTGTTCTTTATCCTCTTGCTGCAGATGGTCTGTTTAACTGTTTTCTTGCTTGTGAAGCATTCAGTTTTTGCACTTACAAAGTCATCCATGTAAATAGCAAATGTGCCATGGCGTGACACAACTGACTTTTAAAGGGAATGAGAGATAAGACTCTGATAATGCTTAAATAAAAATAAAGCCCACAAGCTTTAAATTGTACAAATATGTGCAAATGAAAATAAATTAATTAATTAAATACATCCACTTTAAATTGTATTTGTTTGCATTTATTAAGTACATGTATGTATTTATTTTTATTTATTGTAATATTTTTACTTAAATTTATATTTGTTTACTTTTAGACGATGACAGATGATGAATGCAGGTTCACAATTTGATTGTGCTGCTTTGGACAGTTTGAGCTGAAAACTAATGATCTATTTCAGTTAACTAAACTTAGACCACACCTATTACAGTTGTATTGTCAAGTCTTGCAACTTTAACCTGAATTTACGTAACTTCAATATTTAAGTGAAGTAAATTTAAAATTTTAAGACAGCACGAACACTTACTTTAAGTTGAAACAATTTACACAATTTTTTTACAGTGTACATAAGAAATTTGTTCTTCCTTGAAACACAAAGGAAGGCATTTTGACACAGGAGAACAAATTTCATTGGTTCACAGGGAATTGTAAATGTACACCATGACATTGAAGAACAAACCTCGTTTTGTCATGGATCAAGCAAGTTAACACACTCTGAATCAGTTTTAAAAAGTTCCACCACAGAATACAAATGTCAGTGTCAAACAGTTTTATATGTAATAGTCACTTATTCAATAGTCACAGCATCAGTCCTGATGATAATTATCACAAATGTATCAATAAAACTTTTTCTTTTTTATATATGAAATGCTAAGCAGAATTTTGGGGGTCTTTTTTTGTTTGCATTGCCACGTTGAAAATGACCACTCACACATACAAAATTTCAAATTATATACATATAAAATAAAATATAAAAAATATCCACTCCAAGCTACATAGTAATAATCTCCTAATTTTAACTCATTTTGGTCTGTAGCCCTTTATAACCAAACCTGATAAAAAGGTGCCAAGTTATTAATGTTTTTAATAGTTAAAACTTGCCAACAGATTTGTCCAAAAATATGAGAAATGGCAACCTATGATCACATACTTTGAAAAAATGAAGACTGTCTCCTTTAACTGATCTATATAAAGAAATTTGTGTAAACAGGTTTAAATATAATCATTAATATTGTTTGAGCCCAAATCTATATAGAAGACCATTGTAAACATGTCAGCTTATTGATTTGTATTATTATGTAGGTATTAATTTATTTGAATTATTTTTTACAATTGATATTGTCTAACTGCAAATGTATACAATACTGTAAAGGGAGTTTTTAGTTTTTTAAATATATTTTTCTTTTATTTACTTATTTCTCTCTTTCTGTTGAAATTTTATTTGTATTTAACTTAAATTTGTTAATTTTTTTCAGCAGCAGAGTTTATGGAAAAATACAACCTTGATTGAACAGAATGCTTTGTTAAAACTTAGACAAATATCAAAAGTAATATATATATATATATATATATATATATATATATATATATATATATATATATAGATATATATAGATATATATATATATATATGTTTTTTTTTTTTAAGGAGAGAATTTTTTCAACACATTTCTAATCATAATAATTTTAATAACTCACAAAGATTTATTTGTCTTTGTCATCATGTTTAGAGTAAATAATATTTGACAAGACACTTCTATACAGCTTAAAGTGACATTTAAAGGCTTAACTAGGTTAATAACTAGGCAGGTTATGGTAATTAGGCAAGTTATTGTATAACAATGTTTTTTTGTAGACTTAATCAAAAAAATCAATACAGGCTAAAGGGGCTAATAATTTTAACCTTAAAATGTTTATTTTTTTTAATTTAAAACTGCTTTTGTTCTAGTTGGAAATAAATAAATAAAACTTTCTCCAGAAGACAAAGATTATCAGACATACTGGAAAAATTCCTTGCTCTGTTAAACATCATTTGGGAGATATTTAAAAAATAAAAATACATTTTAAAGGCTTTCAACATGGACACTTTTGTTAAAAAATTCCTAAATATGTTTGTACATTACTTTTTTTAACCAATCAATACAAATACACATTTTTGACTACATTTATGCTTTTTGCATGCACATAGCCAAAATTCTTTGAATAAACTAATATAAACATGTCTGCAAGGAATGCAATGATTAGTTCATGTGAATGTTATGTTTTTATATCTTTTAGAATGTTTTAAAGCATCAGCATTTGAGTGAACAGACTTTCATTAGAGAGACAAGACTCTTGGATTCAAATGATTTTTTTCGTATTGTTTTGAAAATGACCACGTGTGGGTTTGTAACACTCCGGGGGATAATAAATAATGCTAGAATTTCCATTTTGCTTTGAACAGGTGCTTTAAGCAAATCTAGAGATTTGTATCTCCATGCATACCTGCATGATTTCCACAATAGCAACCAAATCAGCCAATGAGATCTGATCACCAACAATGAACGGTTTGTCTTGCAGAAACTTATCCTGAAAGAGCTGCAGTGCCACATTCAGATTCTCTTCTGCATTCTCCATCTTTTCTTTAGGGACCTCAGCTCCCAGCACTTCTGGAATCAAGATCTACAAAAACATAAGGAAACAAATCAAAATCCATTAATAAATAAGTGTAAACATTCTAAAGTTCAGGTTTCATTCTTAAGCAACTGGAGTTAACCATCTAATAGAGCGCAGTTAAAATCTAAGTGTATTTGCACTTCAATTACCTTAAACCAGATAATCTTAGCTCCATGCATCCGAATGGAAGTGTGCTGCCACGACAGATATTCATTTACTCTAGCTCGCTTCTGCAAGTCCGCTGGAAACCAATGGTCTGGAGTGTGGAATTTGTCAGCCAGGTAGATCATAATCGCGACACTAGAAAGAGGAAGTAATTGCTAATTTACATAAACAGTTTGATAAGATGCGCAAAACAAGCAACAGGTTACTATGAAATCGAAATCCACATGGCGCTGGCAATTATAAAATAAAGCATGGTATTGAACATGTATATTACTGTTATGGTAGTCAAAATAAAGACTCTGATTTGTTAGTTGGACTTGTTTGTTGTGATTGGTCCCCAGCCTACAGCATTTTACTAACAGAAATGTACTCAGTGGTAACTTTTGGAAAATAATAACGATCCTGCACACACCTGTTGTGCTTATGAACACAATGGCCAATAAAGGTATTAAGTCAGCACTGAAAATGCTAATTTTGATACATGCATGCTTTTATTCACTGGTTTCTGTGCAATTCCATGCCAATGTCAACCTTGCCATGAAAAAAAAAAACCAAAATATGGAAACCGTTTCTAAATATTTGATGTAAGAAAGCATTTTACAGTGTTTTATAAAGACTCAAAAATGTCTCTGTCAATGTTTTCAAACTATCATATTTGATTTAACAAAGTCACACAAGTAGCAATTTCACATTGGTCACATCTATAATGGAGAGGGGTGACATTTATAAAAGTTTTTTTTCCTATTAAATGTAAAAATATCAAATAAAAAAAATAATGTTTGTTCTATAATGAGTCAACGTTTATCCTTTTGATTAATGCAGTTTAATTGACAGCATTTCTACAAAGCATGTTGTGTACTGCAAACTTGCGTATTTATTTGGTCACTTCCAAAACGCATGTTTATTTTCCCTCATTTAAAGTACAAAACATGTTAACAGATTGATATTTTTCTCTGCTCCCATAACTCTGTGGTTAGTTGTTTTGAAAATATAAACAGATGTTTCGATATATAATGCTGACGACGACTTTCTCTGTGAATTTATGTTTGGAGTTTTTACTGAAAATGTCACATCTATAACGCTGGAATGGCTCTTCTGCATTCTCATACATTCTCTAAGCGCGTATGCAATTTTTATATTAATTTCAAAGCTTCAGTAAATATCACAAGCTTTTGTGAAAGAAGTTAAAAACACTCAAATAAATGTTTGTCTTAAAATAAAAAATGTCTTCTTTAGCTTAAGTGTATGAAGGCTGGTCAAAGTTGATGTTGCTCAGTTCTGGAACTGGAATTACAGACTGTTTAGAATTGGCCTTTTATGGCAACATTAACTTTTATTTGTTGTGACCTTTGATTTTCATATTGTCACAGCCGTTTTACATTTTTAAAATTGAAGATAATTAAGTTTAATGATTTGGTTAAATTTAAAACAACACAGTTCATGATTAAAGCTAGGAATAAATTACTTCTGAAATGCATACAAAAGTTTTTTTTAAAGAAAAACAAGGGGGATAGAATCTGAGAGAAGTACAAAATCTTAATATCTTAGGTCGTAAATTGAAGGCTAAACTTGCTTGCAAAGTCACTTACCTTTCAGCTAAGCAAAAGTCTCCATCTTTGATTGTTGGGAATTTTCTTAGTGGGTTGATTTTTCCAAATTCTTCACCATATTGATAACCTGAAGGAACATATGCTCATTTTTAAGCAAAACACTGTTAAGATATCAGCTATATGTAAATATTTATTCATATCCCTTCAGCTTAGTACCTTTATTTATCAGGGATCGCCACAGCAGAATGAACCACCAACTTATCCAGCATAAGTTTTACACAGCAGATGCCCTTCCAGCTGCAACCCAGTACTGGGAAACATCCATCCATCCATCACACTCTTTCACACATACACTACGGTCAATTTAGCTAACTCAATTTACTTGTACCACATGTCTATGGAATGTGGGGGAGGATACCCAAGCCAACCGTGGGAGAACATGCAAACTCCACACAGAAAAGCCAACTGAACTGACCCAGCCAGGACTCGAACCAGCGACCTTCCTGCTGTAAGGCAAAAGTGCTAACCACTGAGCAACTGTGTCACCCATAAATATTTTTTTTTCTATAAATTATACATTTTGTGCATTGAGGGTTTAAAAAAATTAAGCAATAATTGTTACATCCAGAATGTACTACTTTTACTTTAGAGAGACCAGAGAGCCTTACGATGCATGATTATTTTTCACTAATGTCACTACGGCTATAAAAGTGTCTCTCTAGGGTTTTGAGTGCATTCTTTTAAGAGACATATTTGAGATATTTTGTTGTGAGTTGGTTTCAGTACAGTCTTATGTCAATATTAAAGGCTGCTTCTTGACGGACAATATGTCTTGATTTGGGATGTTTGTGTACTGAATAATATTTCAAATATAAATAAGAAAAATGTGTACATAAGATGCTAATATTGAGAAAGAAAGAAAGAAAGAAAGAAAGAAAGAAAGAAAGAAAGAAAGAAAGAAAGAAAGAAAGAAAGAAAGAAAGAAAAGTTATTGAGACCGTTGGGCCCCATAGCAAAACTATTGCTTTGGACCCCAAATCACTAAATCCCCCTGTTATACAATCAGACACAACGTAAAAGTTCAAAGACATGACAATCGACGGCACAGTTTGTCAGATAAGTTTTTTTTTCTCACAGAATCAATCTAGTAATACCTTTCTATCAATAAAGGATTACTTGCATAAGTCCAACCACAACGTTCCATGAAACAATAGAAATAAGACAAAAGGGAAACGTATAGCACTGAATTTTAATTCAAGAACCAACATAATGTCTGCAAACACTTCCCCTGGAGATATTTTGATGACGAATGCTGTAAAATAACTTTAAGGCGAACTTCAGGCGGTTTTGCAGAAATCAAACCATACCTTCAAACAGAGAAATCTTCTTGTAGTCGAACTGGATGTTGTTTTTCTTAGCAAAGATGTACACGGAGCGACAGGGCTGGGAAAACAGGTCCAAGTAAATTTCCAGAGTCATGTTTAAAAAGCTTTGGGCTCTGTAGATAAACACGACTCGCTGCAAAAGTGAAATAAAACGACTGTTTGCACTTTAAGTATCGTCTAGTTCCACCCCGCCCCTCTGAACTCTGTTCATGGAAATCCGTGCCAACTGGAGGAAAACTAGTCCATCTCACGGTGAGTGTGTGGATTTATATTTAAAAAGCATACAAAATACTGCTCATATTTAGTGATAATAATTGAAAGTAATGTAATACAATTGCAAGATAAGAAGTGCTTGAACTTTGGGTTATTTTTCCCGTCATTCTTGCTTATACAATTGACGCCATCTATCGGAAATCGAGAGGTATTTCGACCTATTTCTTTGAACAATTACCTCAGCAAAATAAGGTAAAGTTCAAATCAGAGACGCTTGGTCTCAAATACAGTAAATATCATATATAAAATAATGTGTTTGAGTAATAAACTATTCTTTTGACTTGAGGAAGTCTTTGGAAATCTCAGCTGGCAGTAAATAAATATTAATTCTCAAAACCAGTATGACATCTCAGGCCCTTGTCTAGCCTATTAAAAGAGGTGTTTTTCTGTAAAAGTGGACCTTTTATGCAGTTATTCACCTCATTTTTCTATTAAATTATACATTTTAGTGACATTTTAAGAAGCAAATTTTTTTCTGGATCAGCTTGTTAAAAGGTGAAAAATAATTCCTACAAGTTTGTCAAAGTGCTCACCATACTATTTTACAACGAAGTATGCTTTTACAAGTTTGGATCTAAACTGTAAATTAAACCAGTTTTATAAATATTGCTATGAGATTAGAGTTTTAAATAAAAAAGTTGAAGAAAGAAATATGAAAAAAAAAATTTTATACATTTTTTTTTACATTTAAAAATAGGAATCTGGTAAAAATAGTTTTAAAATAAAAACTTGCTAGCCCAATCAACTTTACTCAGTAAGAATTTAGACACTTGAATAATTAAATTTTATAAGTCCTAAAGCCTTTTTCAATCTATAATTTTCACAATATATGATGGCATAGAAGTCAGAAAAATGGATAAATTAGCTCATATAAGGGTCAAACTCCTGACTTTGTCAGTGGTAAGGTGGGTCTTTCGAACCACCCAGACCCCCCTGGCTAAGGACCTGCTTCTCTATTTATCTCTAGAAAATATTGGTTTCTTCCCAAACATATAACACAGAAAACTAAAAGATATTGCCCGGTGTAGCTTTGCATTGACTTGAGTACCTTTCAATAAGAGTCACAAAAACACTTCCTAGGATCTTCTTATTCATTATTCCTTGTCAGTGGATTTTTTTTACCAAAAAATTCAAAATGCAGAATTCCTAGGAATATTCAAGAAATTCATCTCTTCTATGAGCACTTGTAAACTGACCCGTGTAGGCAAATGCTACCAACATCACCCCCCAAAAACTCCCTAAATGAACTACACATTTTATTTAAGAGGATTTTTTATTTTCTATAAACTCAAATAAAAGTCTATCAGTGTAGTTGATGACAGAGATAAAATACATCGTGTTAGTGTGCTACATCAGAGCAAATGTGTTTACAAGTAATATATTTCGCTGAAGATAATGTGCAATCAAACCTCATTCAGACACATACTGTTTTAAGTGATTTAAGATATTATCAGTGGCTTTAGTAAGCTGGCAATAAGATTATTCATGTTTTGATTTAACAGATCCGATTAAAGTGCCACTTCATCAAGAAAAAAATGACATTTGTAAATAAATTAATCTCTCATAGACTGATTTCATCAATATTACTTTCATCATTATCTAAAAACAGACACAGCTAACCCACTATTTGTTCTGATACCAAATGCTAAATGCATTATTTTTAACTTAACAGTAAAACAATTATTGTCAAATCACCAAATGTACTTAAGGAAAAAATAAAGCTTGAGTTAAATGCCAAATACTTTCAATCCTATATGAACACAACTTGCCTATACTGCAATGCATGTTCCACTAAGTGGATCTCAAACAGGAATCATATAAAAAGTATTCACTTCCACGAGGAATGTTGAGTCTTATAGGAAGCTCATTACTGTTCCCTTTTTCCCAATCTGTGATGGCTCCAGAGGGTAAAACAACACCAAAATCCTGAAACAAAACAGATGAGAAAGACAATCAGGGAATTAAACAATAATGCAGACTATAAGTTGACTACATATCACTTTTAAGGGATGATAAGGCAATTTGAAATTGCATTCTCTAGGGCGTTTTCTTTTCTGTAATACAATTACTACATAACCGCTGATTGAAAAGTCATTTGTAAATGTCATTTATTATATTCCATTCTCATTTATTAATCCTCTCCAGTGTACTCATGGGATGGTAAAGTGCCCATTCATCAGACCATGGTCATCAGACGCACACGTAAAGGGATGGTTCACCCAAAATTGAAAAATTACTCAAGTGATACCAAACCTTTGTAAGTTTCTGTTTTCTTTTGAACATAAAAAATAGATTTATTCTGAAGAAACTAAAAACTGGTAACCATTGACATTTATAATAATAAAAAACAAATACTATGGCTACGGGTTTTAAGCTTTCTTCAAAATATCTCCTTTTGTGTTAAAAATAAAAAAATAAAATTGTAACAAATGAAGGGAGATTAAATGACAAAACTCCCAGTATTAGATATACAAACCATTTAAGAGATTCGATAAAAGTTTTAGAGGTATGCCTTTTGTACTGTGAATTTAGACACACTTCTTTTGCCACATGCCATTTTTGCCTACTACATACTATAGCTAACCAATGGCATGCTGGTTTAAAAGGGAGAGGCATACAATTTCAGACCAAAACGAAAACAAAACAGTCACACCCATTCATACAATGTCAATCAAAAATATTTTGATCTTTCTTTCAGAGAATACAATTTTAAATTAAACTCAGAAAAAAGTAAGAGCAATTCCAGGATTACGGAGAAAGTACAGAAACAAGTATGTCAACATTGTATTGAAACATCCGTTGATATTTTCCAAAACAACTAACCAACCACAGAGTTATGGGATCAGAAAAATATAAATCTGTCATTGATCTGTAATTTTTTTAAAATTTTAAATAAGGAAAATAATCATGCATTATGGATGTGACCAAAAAGTCTGCAAGTTTACCGTATACAACGTACTTTGTAGAAACTTAAACTACACAACTCAAAATAAATAATGCTAATCAGAAAGATAAGAGTTGGCTCACTATAGAACACAAATTAATCATTTTATTTGACTTTTTTGCATTTATGAGGAAAAGGCTTTGTTATGAATGTGACAGATGTGAGATTGACACTTTTAAGAATTTTGTAAATCAAATATAATTATTGAAAAACATTGACAGAAACATTAATGAAAAACAGTTTTTCATTAAAACATATTTTAATGAAAACTTTGTTGACTTTTGCATGGAATTGCTATTGTGATGTTAGCACGTAAGCTATACATTTCAGTGTACACAAGTATTTGTATAAGATTTTTGTTTATTTAATGAGGTGACATGTTATGCAACTAACGCATTAATGATGTCAACACACATTAATGATGTGTTTAACTCTGTTTTCATGCATTTTTGTATCAATTTACCGGTCATCGCTCAGCCCAAATTCTCCTTGCAGGAACTGGAAGATCTTAGCACTATGCTGCTTATTTTTCTCCGCAGTATCGGTCACTCCAATGGCCGACACGGTCATTAACACACATGGGGAGCTGGACCCCGCAAAAAGCATTGGCAGGTCAGGCTTTACCACCAGATTCATCCTCTGAAGACGTAAGCCAAATCATAAAATACGTTTACATAAAAGTGAAGCAGTCACAACTTCGTATGATCAAGGTCAAGACATTTGAAGTTCAGTTAAAAAAACACCACTGCCCACACAAAACCATAGAAAAAACATTGACATTAACTTTTTCTTGCACAGCTAACGATACAATACTCACGTCTTCCGGCTTCCCCAGTGCTGCAGCCAATGTAGAACATAGTCTTTTCAGAAAGTCTTCTGGAAACTTGCTTGCAGGTAAATTGGTTTCTATATTTATGAACGGCATGATTTCTATCACTGTGCGTTTCTGTCAAAATGTGAGAATGACCTGGCTGCTGCAGCAACAGCCCCTCTTCCTCGTGATACATCGCTCTCTCTGATTGGTTGAAAGATAGAGACGCCTGTTCACCGAACTCTGCGATTGGTCAATGTAGCAAAATCTTGTCACACCTCTTGAGCGTTTAGAGATTGAATAAATGAGATTGAAACAAGAGTCAAACTAAGTTTCAAAGTAGCGTTTCTATAATGGATACCAGATACAATACTTTGATCTATAATGTTTTTGTAAAAGTACAATAAATGCTTATATTTATCTTTACTTCTGAAGGAGAACGATTGTGTAATTCTTGCAAATAGTTTGAATAGCCTTTTTATCAGGCTTTTGTTTAGCAACTCCAATAGAACCTTGTAAATCATAAACATGATCTTATCAAAATCTAGGCATACAATTGTGTAATGTGCCAAAAAAAAAAACACACAAAGCAGCATTACCCCATGTTACACGAGATGCTTAAATAACAAAGCTAGAAATAAGATAACAGCAGCTCTTTAATGTACAACCTCATTTACATGATCACACATTCAAAAGTATCAGTACATATTTCATAACTATAAACATAAGCAGACATTCACTGCAGTAATATTCAGGACCTGTAGTTTATTTTTCTAGTTGTAGTGTCAAGCTCTTCCAATTTCTTCATCACACCAGAGACGTGACACCTGAAGAAACAACATATCTGGTTATTTTAAAAGGCAACATTATGACAAATATATACATTTCTCCTTTTTTGTATATATATATATATTTTCTGTCATGATCTGATTTGGAATTTCTGCGTGTTGCCTGTGTGATTGGCATAGCACCATGCATTTAATGTCCATGTTAACCATACACTTACCACTGGAGAGTTTGCACTGTTTAAGAGCCTCGTTGAAGCCTTCACACAAGCTCAGATCAGCCTGAGTCGTGGCACAGTCCAGAAACTGCCTCACTTCAAAGAGACAAGGACCAGACTGAGAGGGTGGAAGTCGTGATGGCTCCTGAAAAACATTTATAAAATACATACTTGATTGTTACATATTCCTTATTACTAATAAGTTAATACATCAAGAACATTAAACAGACCTCTTTTTACTGGTAAAACTTGACGCTTGATACTGTGTTTTGTCATGAACAGTTGGCTGTTTAAAGATGCTGTAAATACCCATTAATTTTATTCACAATTTTTTTGCTACATTATTGTTATGATTAAATTACTGTGAACAATGAGGATGTTAATCAATGCTATACAAATCCATCAGTCCATGTTAACAATTTAAAAAAATCGTTTAAATAATTGTACTAGAATTCTTGGTGAAAAAGCACACTAATAATAATAATAATAATACACTCCCATAAAACACAGCAAATGACTTCATAGGCAGCAGTGCTTCTTTCCTACAAAATCACAGCTAGAAGAACCGGAAGTGGATGACTGGCATAATAAAGCTTTGTCAGGCTCATCTCTCATTAGTAATTTGCTTTAAAACTCTTCTTTTGCTTATAATGATTCTTTTGTTAGCATTATAGTAAGTTTTGAATACTTGAACTCGTCCATGTATATGATTTCCCATAGAATGTAATGATGACAACCAAGATTCTACACTCAGAAGCTGTTTCCATCTGCATTTTGGATTATCACATAAAAAATGCTTCATGAAAATGCCAAGATACACAAGCATTTTAAAAATGCACATTAAAACAGGATAAACTTTATATTCAATAAGTAAAAATGCGTATAAACTATGATGGAAACAGTTTTTTAGAATACCCTCCAGTATGTGCATTAACAATGTGTAAATGGTGTGTGTGATGGGATGCGAAAATGGACAAACACACAGCTAACCACATTGTTAAACATCCAAAATGTTGTTTTGGTCATTCTGAAATGCCGTAACCATATTAATATTATTAATTACCTCCAAAACTGTCAAGAGCATCTGCGCTCTGTATCTCACGCCTCCAAATGCCACTACACGTTTATTGTGTCAGCATCGTCTTTTGAGGGACAAGCAATTTATTAAACAAGGAATAGACTCAGGGCTTGACTTTAACAGCCATCAAATGCAGGTAGATTTCAGCTGTGGCAGATTAGACAGTCACTTGAAGGTAATTTTTTAAATTGTAGTTTACTTACAGTATAAAGCAGAGTTCAACAATAAGAATTGCCCAATGAGGGGTCAACGTGAGAGGTGACAAAACTAACTGTGTTCGGGTGAGCAAAAGAAACTGTTGAATACCAAATGAGAGGATGTTTGCGAGCACGGAGAGACACAGACAATCCTGACGCACTGACGAGGGCTTCAGTATCAAGGCTGATTTCAGGTTATGTGAAGTGCGCGACTGTTCAAAAGTTTAAAAAATAGTTCCCTGCGCAAAGCATCCGTGCCTGGAAACTTAACTAGTGCAATCGGTTCTCTTTTAAATAGACTAGACAAAAAAATTTTGAGCTTAAATTGTTTTTATTTATGGTGTGGCTAAAGACAAATTTGGTAAATCCTTAGTGTTGAGCCCTGAAAAGTCATCTGAAATAAAAAAAAATTAATTGCAATGCGCCACTATGAAACCACAACCTATTTACTTAATAGGTTGCTCATTGAGCAAGGTCATACACAACACACAAAGGTGAAATGAATGAGGCATACGGAAATAACACAAAATCTAAATCAAGTCATTTTAGCATGCCAAAGTCTAATTATAAGCTTAAAAAATATATTTTCCCAACAACAAAATTGTGGCTAGTAAAAATGGCAAATGGCTGGTAATATTGGAAAACTACAAGCCACACTGGCTGGTGATCAAAAAAGCTAATGTCAAGCTCTGAGATAGACTCATGGGATTGTGATTCATTCTCTACGTAAAACAGTCTAGTCTTGTACCTTCATATTTTTAAATACATTTCTTCAAAATAAATTTGTAATGTTGTGATTAAACTCTACGACTTAAAACATTTTAATGAAGATTTTTAAAAATCATGTATATGAAAAATACTTTGACTCAATGCCACTTAAAGAGTTGTTGGTTACACTCCATGGAAAAAAAATAAAAATATAATATTTCAATAAATATTTTGGGTATGACCTGATATGTGGGTGCTGGTTTGGGTGCCTCTGAACTGCTGCCTCCACTGAAGGCACCTGTGATGGCACTGCCCATCACATGCCCAACAGCTGAACCAACGGCCACTCCGGCCGCTGTGGTGGCCATCTGGGCCATGAGACCTGGCTGCTTAGGCTGAGCCGCAGCAGGGGCCACTGCCATCGGAGGAGGAGCTGCAGGAGCTGGAGCATAGGATGGGGCAGGAGCACTAGGAAGAAAACAGGATAAAATATGTTAAAGAGATTTAAATTTACAGGTCACCATAAAATGACCATTTTCGTTCAAGTGGTTCTAAATTTATGAAGAAAGGAAGATACATTGAATATATATTATGGAAGCCAAGAACTGTTTTTTTCCCCCAACATTCTTCAGTACATTGTTAAGGTAAAGTTTTAGATTTGCACATTTGTTCATTTTTAAATAATGAAAACTTGTGACATGGTCTCTATGTGGTTTATTACAATACTTTGAATTTAGTATTCTAGCTATGACTTCAAAACAACATTAGCACTATTGAATTGACCGTGAACCATGTTGTACTTTGATAATCCTTGGCTGCTAATATAATTCACAGTTAAGAATTTGCAAAGAATATTTTTCTGAAATTATATTATTAAAGAGAAAGTCTGAATGTGCGAATATAAAACCTACTTCACTTCAATTAGCATATCTACCTTTGTATTGTGAAACACTTGAATGAGTAAATGCAGACAGAGTTTAGATTTTAGGTAAACTTTTTCTTTAAGTTTTAAAATATAATGTGCATAAGCTATCTCGGCATATTCACTCACTGTAAAGCACACATACAGAATTTAGCATACCAAGAATATATTTTAAATTAATCTGTATCAATATCACGTGACCCAGAGCTGCTTTTGGCATCTTCAGATGGAAAGGAGATAAAGTCTTAAACCTGGTTTGCGTCACAGGCTATCAAATGACAGACATTTTACACGAATAAACAAATACTGCACACATTTTTACAGTTTTAACTTATGGTAGTTAATAATAAACAAACTTTTCAGTCTGACCTTTCACCTAGTGTTATGGATGTGTGAATAATACCAGAATTCGTTCATTTCTAGCAAAGAAACATGTTGTGTGCTATTTTTCTGTACCCATTCTGTTTTGCTGAACGCAGCTAACGTCAAAATTTACTTCCAAGTTACATTAGCTTTAGCACGCTTGCTTACATCAGAGGTTTATAATACGTTATAAAACTACTGCATCTAAAGATACCTCGCTGGTGCCGGTGAAGGACGACTGCGACTTCCTCTTGCCATTTCAGTAGATTGTAACCACGTTCAGTCCTTTCAGTTATTATTATAACGTCGCAAAACAATCGTGACGGCGGTCAAATCCAGTCTACACACGCACACACAGTACTCTGAATGACAGCCGGTGGACGCAGACGCACGTGTGTTTGACCTTGTGTGGTTACTGTAGACATTGCGCATGCGCGACTTGATGTTCTAGAAAGCCCCGCGAATAATTTGTTATTTCTGAGGTAAATGTTTTATAGAACATTTCCATTGACTCTTAAAGCTATTCATAAGGGTTTCCAAACTACGACAGCTAATATTGTCTTTTCTTTCAGTGATGTGACGCTCAACGTTGAGATTTTATAATATTATATTTTTTTGTAAATGTATAATTTTAAATATGAAAAAACGTTCTACATTTAAACACTAAACAACTGTCACATTATTTAAAGCAGAGATGCCAAAGTAGGAATCAGATTGCCTTTGATTTGGCACACAAACCCATGATGGTTGTCGCGAATACTTTTAACACATAGATCGTCATTTTTAATTTGACGTAACATTATTGTTTGTTTGTTGCGAGCAAATTATGGTTAATATATATATATATATATATATATATATATATATATATATATATATATATATATATATATATGTGTGTGTGTGTGTGTACATAAAAAGGGGTGTGGCTTTGTGGGGGCGTGACTTGAGTCGTAAGGGCGGGGCAAAAATTCTCACCAAAAGTCAAGTGGTGCTCGCTGCAGAGCCATTTGAGGAGAGGTGAGCTCCAGAGAGGGGGAGCTTAAGCTTGAGCTCCACCTTTTTTGCACTTCTTCTGATGTCACTGGGGGTAGGGTTAGGGGTGGGGTTGGTGTACGCATTAAAACAGCTTACAGGAGGAGGAGCGACAGCTCATGCTCCCCCTCTCTGGAGCTCACCTCTCCTCAAATGGCTCTGCAGCGAGGGCAACCCTGCTACCATTGAGTTACACAATGCAGCATTTAGCTCGCTCGTAAACATCGCTGCTGTACTCAGATCATGGCGGCTCTATTAACGCATTCCTTCCAATAGACAACTTTAGGGTAGGTGACATGTATATAGCTATGGGCGCCAACTAGTGTTCATGTCGTATCATGCTCAACTCTTAATACTCTATAACGCACTTTGAAAGTCTTTGCGTGATTTCAGAGAGATATTTAAGCACATATGAAGTACAGTGCCGTCTCTACTATTGAGTTACACAATGCAGCATTTAGCTCGCTCGTAAACATCGCTGCTGTCCTCAGATCATTGTCTTAGCAGAAGTTTCATCATTAGCCCTGACTTTCAGATGCTCTTCATCTCAGGAGCTGTATTTTTGATGCTTGATAACAGATGTAAGGTGAGTTATGGCTGGAGTGGACGCTGCCAAACGGGCTTTCATTCATTTTGGCATGACAGGAGAGAACAGGATACTAATGAGTGACAGAAAGAGTTCACAAAAACTGCTCTCCGGTTGCATTTAATTTGATGAATATTATCTTTTAGAGCTTCGAGTCGTGCCTCAGGTTTTTCCCTCAGGTGTTTCTCGTCAGATTTGTCGTAGAAAGGTGAGAAATGTTTGAGTTTAAGACATATACTTAAATTAATATATAAGCTATGAGATTAAGTTAAAGATATTTGTGCAATGCATTTATTTATAAATTTAATTTATAAGTAAATAAATTTATTTATAAAATATTATTTGGCATCTGCTTCCACCTTGTGGCAGCAAAGGGAAGTTTTAAAAGGCACACGTTTTATTCATTCTGAAAGTTCTTTACCTGCTGAATCACTGACTCGTTCATAATGCAGACCGTTATTATTTTAATTGTATATATGTATGTATAAATGTAAATGCATGTTTAAATATTAAATTAAATTATAATTTTTAATTGTGATTTGTAAAATTTGAATGTTTTTTCGGTTTATTTTTATAAATATAAATTCTATGAATATACATTTATATAATATAATTAAACATATTATAAATTCTTTTAATATTTCTATATAGCTTTATTTAGTTAGTTTTAGTATTTATTTATATATGTGTAGTAGGTCTATTTTTTATATAATATATTTTTTAAATTTTAGCAATTTTATAATTAAATAACATAGCTCTATATATATATATATATATATATGTCCCCATCATCAAAGGAAACATAAGCATGGCTTGATTCTGGGCTATATTAGGTGAGCTATCAGCCCCCTGCTGCTGCTCACCAGATGTAGAAGGTGACTGGTCTAACTGTTGTGTGGTTGACATTTTCCTGATTATTGCCCAAAGTCCAGACTGCAAAAACTACGCCAAGTTGTAACCCTCCCAAAAAGGGCATAAAGTATTCACACACAACACAAGTTCTTTGCTGGACAAAATACAGTATTTATTTTGGGCCACAATAATCAAGTAAATGTCAAACACTCAATTCATTTAAATACTAGTTTCACTTTATTTTATACAATAATCTTAAAGATTAAAATTCCACACAAGGGGAGCAGCAGGTAGGGGATCAAAAGGACACAAAGTTCATGATGTAAAGATTGTTAGTGGACTGCATAAAAATGATTAGGTAAGGCAATTAAAATGACCACCACAAGGCATTTAACAAGGGGTATCAACCGTAATTGTGCAACATCATCATTTCACATCAACCCAGAGTTGTAATACACCACACAGTAAATCTCATAAATATAAATGTATAAATAACACCCATAAATAGACTCCACACAGCAATCAAATCATAAGCTACCATCAATACCACTCCAGCTAAATATCAAGCCGTCGTCATTTAACATTTCCTGTATGGAGCGTGATGCTAGCCTGCGCTCATTCCCGTCACACGCACGCACGCACGCACGCACGCACGCACACACGCACGCACGCACACACGCGCACACACACACACACACACACACACACACACACACACACACACACACACACGCACAAACAGACAGACTACAAGCGCCGGGAGCAATCAAACTCACTCAAACTCCCGGCGAACAAAATGCAATACACACACCCCACAACAGTATTGTGCTGCTGGCCCGCTTACCCGCTACCGGACGTGGGATACAGCGATTGGAAGTCAACAGCGGCCGCCGAAACTTTAGTCCGGGGAAACCCCAGCACTACCAATTATCCCTCCCAGTCATTCGCTCGCGCACAACATCATGCCCACGTCCCGGCACGATAGCCTTGGCCAGCGGCTCAGCAGCACCTGCAATCAAAAACCAAGAAAAACCCCTCCTGACCCAGAAACTACAATCGCTTTTAAAGGCTTGGACTCATTACAAATTGAACTCAGCTGTTCATCTCCTGGAAACATCATAGACGCAAATGACGCCAGTACGCATCATTTTGGTTTGGGAAGCACCGCTTACATTTTCCTCCTGTTGAAAAACGTCATAAGAACAATGTTTAGTGGCTCAATGTATTACAGCAGTGTTTTTAAAAGTCTAAACACTTTATTGATAGAGTGTACAACCAAGCACAAGTGGTCAGAATACAAACGAGTCGCAGGTGATAAAGTATTAAGCGTTCTCCCAAAGTAAAGTGTGTCTGAACCAGGTCCAAGCTAAATGCTAGCAAGTGTCTGTAGCTCCGCTCACTCTCCGCCTCTTTGCCCTTGTTTGGTATCCCGCCGTGGGTGTGATGACGCGTGACCAAAATGGCGACGGTTGGCCGCGCCTACTTGTGGCTTCTTTTGTGCTCTTCAGAAACCTATGGGTGACGTCACGGATACTACGTCCATATATTTTACAGTCTATGGTGTTAACATGTAAATGACGTGTTAACACGTACCAACGTGTTAACGCGTAAATTACGTGTTAACGCGTAAATTATGTGTTAACACGCAATTACGCGTTAACACGTTTGTTGCAGACGTTTTGGCCCCAACGGCCTTCCATATCAGCGCTCGCCATGACAACGAGACAACAGTGACGTACCTTGTAAAAATTTGCATATGCATTCCTATAAAGCTCGTGTGCTCTGTCAGCGTTGCCAGTTCGCCCGGGGTAGAGGGTTATGGTGGGTGGGAGTAACGAGGCTCACTCATCTTCTATTTTATTTAAACTATAGTTTCAAACTTTAGTTTACTATAGTTTGAAATAGAAACCATGGTAACTGTTTTGAGTTAGCTTTATGCAAAGAGCTTAGAATGACCATGAGCAACAGACCCGGATTCCGCCATTATGAAGTGATAGTCATTGCTGTCGCGATGGAAAGCTTCTGCTTTGTTTTTATTTAATTTATTCTAAAAGCGCGTTATTGTTTCCCAAATTGTAGAGTGTCGCCTCTTGCTAATTCTATGCTCTTTGCTCTATGTCTGACTGTGATGTTTTGTTTTGTTTTTCAGCTGAGTTGTTGAGCAAAGAAGGACTATTGAAGACAACAGTTGAACACAACCGCGGGTTCTTTTCACGAGCGCGCGCATTATAATGTTTCCGGGCTGTTTTCTGAAAGTGTGTCTAGTTTAGATACGTTTGCATGTCAAACTAAATAAACTACACTCTTGCTAAACACCTGTCTCGTGTTTTATTTGTCCTCTACAGCAATGCACTGTCATAGAAGACTGTTGAATGCATTTGTATGCAACATGGTTTGACAATACAGTAGTCTAACAAATAAATAGTTGTTATAAATGTACCTTCATTAGTCAACATTTGGTGTTATTTGTTTCATAACTATATTTATTCTGTATGTTTGAAATCAGCAAATTATACTATGTATTTATCAAGTCATAAACTTACTGCTATTTTAAAATTCGCTAAATAAAATGTCCTAAGACAAGAATGGGTATTGTTTTAGTTTTATGTCAACCTACTGCAGGTTTTAGGTTGACTACAGCAGGTTTAGGCTACATACATCAGGGAGTTTTTTTAATGACCCAAATCAAGTAAAACGTCTCTTACTCAATTACTTTTAGCATGCTAAAGACAAATTTAAGTTTATAAAATACAGTTTCCAACAACAAAATTTTGTCTTGCGAAAAAGACCAGTGTGGTGGTGAGAAAAAAAAGTAATGTCAAGTTAAATATATATATATAAAAGAAGTTGATCAAGTTGTCATAAT